TTTGACCATTTATCAATTGGGGAATGACTTGTAGTCTTCAAAATAAGTTTTCTTATGTATATACTTGATCATGTTATTTCTCTGCTCAGAAACCCTCAGAGGTGCTCCCTATTGCCTCTGGGGTAAAGTTACAAACCCTCTGCCTCACCTTTAGGGTGGCCTACTTGCAGTTTTTTTAGCATATCACTCCATCTGCAGTTTCCATGCCTTTGGATTGACTGTCCCTCATTCCTAGAATACTCTGTCCCCTAACTTCTGCCTTTCAATTTTCCTGGCTTCCTTTAAGATTCAGCTTAAATCTCTCCTTTTGCAGGAGGATTTTCCTGGTGCTCTCAGTTGCTGATGCCTTCTCTTTTCAGATTACCTTTAGTTTCTCTCTCTCTCTCTCTGTCTCTCTCTGTCTCTGTGTATGTGTTGTATGTACTTGGTTATTTACATGTTTTCTTCTCCACTAGAATATATACTTCTTGAGGGCAGGAATTTTGTTTTTGGTCTTTCTTTGTATTCCCAGTACTTAGCACAGTGCCTGGTACATAGTAGTAGACCTTAATAAATGTTTGTTGACTGACTATACAATCTGATGCCACCTTTCCTTTCTCGTTTTATCTTATAACATCACCTTCAGCACTCTAGTTAAACTAGTCTGATTTCTGAATCCAAATGCACAATGCATTTCTTTTTTCCTTTCCTAGCTTGCTGCTTTTGATCTGGCTATTCCCTATTCCTAGAATGCTCTCCTTCCTCTCTTTCCTTATTAAATTCCTACCCATCCTTCAAAACCCAACTAAAATGTCATATTTTTAATTAAGTCTTCCTGATTCCTCATCAATAACAACCCTGTCTCCTCAGACTTCACATGTAATTTTGTTTTAAAAATCTGTTATGTATTTATCATATAACATTGTGTATTCTAGTTATGTGTATTGCTGTTTAGACTGTAAGTTCTAGGGGTAGCTATGTGGTACAGTGGATAGAGCACTGGCCCTGAAGTCAGGAGGACCTGAGTTCAGATCCAGCCTCAGACCAAACACTTGACAATTACTAGCTGTGTGACCCTGGGCAAGTCACTTAACTCCAATTGCCTAAAAATAAATAAATAAACAAACAAACAAACAAACAAATAAATAAATAGACTATAAGTTCTGAGGGGACAGGAATGATGTTTTACCTATCTTTTTTTTAAATCTACCAATACTTTGCCCATATTAAGTGCTTAATAAATGTTTGTTGAATTAACAAACTACAAAAGTAGAGTATAAGAGAGGCATGGTTAGACCATAGTTTATATGAAAAGATCTGGGAGTCAGAAGTGTGATTTGGCAGCCAAAAAGGCTAATGTAACCTAAGACTTCATTAAGAAAGACATAATGAATGTCCTGAAAAAAGGGAGGTGATATTCCTGTTATGCTCTAGCCTAGTCAGATGAAATTTGGAATTTTATGTTCCTTTCTGGGTACCACAGTTTAGGAAAGTTTAGAAAAGATACTACGAAATTTGAGAGTGATTAGAGCAGGGCAGTCAACAAGATGAGAAGACTAGAGGCAATTTCAAATGAGGATTGTTTAAATGAACTATAGATGTTTAGAAGAAGAGATTTAGTCGGGTCGTGATAGTCGTCTTCAAGTATTTGAAGAGCTATTTCATGGAAGACAGCCAGTGTTGTCCTGCTTGGCCTCAGGGGACAGAGCTAGAAACAGGATGAAAGTTGCTGAAAGGCAGATTTAGACTATGTGAGGAAAAACTTCTAAACAATTTGAGCTATCCAAAAGCAGCATAGAGTGCCCCAGAGGTAGTGGGTTCCCCATTGTTTGAAGTCTTTAAAAAACAGTTTATTTTTATTTTTCAAGTTTTTTTTTATTTTCAAGTATAGATATACATGTGTGTATATATATATATATATATATATATATATATGCATATACATATGCATATATATTAATCTCTGCCTTCAACTAGGTCCCCCTCCCCATTTAGCAAATTAAAAAAAAAAACTGGAAAAAATCCTTCAATACATAGTTACGCAGTTCAGCAAAACAAATTCCCATATTAACCATATATGTGTTTTTCTTTCAACATTTTAAGTTCATCACTTCTCTGTCAGGGTGTGTTTTATCTTCAATCTTTTCTACTTCTGACCTATTGTTACATTGACCAGAGTGCTAAAATCTTTCAAAGTCATTTTTTCTCTATAATGTTATCATTGTATACTTTGTTCTGGTAGTTCTACTCACTGTGCTTTGCATCAGTTCATAGAGGCCTTACCAATATCCTCTGAAACTGTCCATCATTTCTTGTGGCAAAATAATTTCCATTATAAATATAATTTGCATTATATTCATATGACACACTTTATTCAGCCATTCCCCAATAGGACAGCCCTTTAATTTCCATTTTTTGGCTACCATGAAAAGAACTGCCATAAATATTTTTGTACATATATATTCTTTTTCTCTTTTAAAAATTTCTTTGAGATATAGGCCTAGTAATGATATATTTGGGTTAAAGAGTGTGTACAGTTTGTTAACTTTCTGGGCATAGTTTTAAATTGCTTTATAGAATGGTCAGACCAATTCCTCAGCTTCACTGACAATGCACTAGTATACTGTTTTCCCTCAGCCCCTATTGGAGGTCTTCTAGCAGAGACTGGATGACCACTTGTCAGGAATATTGTGGGTGGAATTCCTCCTGCATACCCTCTGCTTCCTGGGTTTTTTGTGACACTGTTACAGCTGCAAGCAATTTTATAGTAACAGAGGAAACAAAGTCTGAGCTATGTGATTTATTAGCAAAGCATGTAATGGCAGAACAAATTGGGTCCAGGGCCCCTCAGCAGGCACAAGGATCCTGAAGAGAAATTTACAAGGCTTTTTTATAGTAAAATACAGTTACTTTATAAAGCATTACTATTTTTAGATTTAGGGACTTTACAGAGTTTGGGGATTCTGATTGATTGCACCCATCTACATCCTGTAAAAGTTAGTGGCACAATAATGACTTCCCTGAAATTATATAATTTACAGGAAAACAAGACTTAATTCCAACAGCTGTACAGAGTATTGATGAAAATGCAAAATGGAGTTGATTTGGTTCTCTTCCATCTGTCTGACCAGCATCTCCTATGTTGCATCTTCATCCATGTCCTTCTTCCATGTTCTTAACTATGGGTGATTCCCCCAAGGCTCTGTCCTGGACCCTCTTCTTTTTTCTCTCTATACCCTCTCTGTTGATGTTATTAGTTATCGTGGATTAAATGATCTGTTTCTGTGAAGGTGGCTCTCAGGCCTGAATCCATTTCCTCAGCTCCAGACCCAAGTTACTAATTTCTTGTTGGACCTAACCAACTAGATATCCTTTATCCTTTAGACTCAACAGGTTTGTCCAAAATGGAACTCATCTCCCTCCCCACTCATAAATATCAGTCCCCTTTTTATGAACTCTATGTTTCAGCCAAACTGGTTTAGTTACTGTTCCCCAAATAAGTACTCCATCTTTCATTTCTGTATTTTTACCTAGAATGAACTTCTTCACCTCTACCTTTTAGAACCCCTAGCCTTCTTTAAGACTTTGCATATGGGGGCAGCTAGATGGCACAGTGGATAGAGCATTGGCCCTGGAGTCAGGGGAAACTGGGTTCAAATCCGGTCTCAGACTAGACACTTGACACTTACTAGCTGTGTGACCCTGGGCAAGTCACAACCCCAACTGCCTCAAAGCAACAACAACAACAACAAAGACTTACTTATGTGCCATCTTCTTCAAGAAGCCTTTTCTGATCCCCTTACTTGTTAGTGTTCTCTCCATCTTCCTCAAGTTATCATGTATATATTTATAGAGGCAGCTGGTAGAATAGTGGATAGAGTACTGGGCCTGGAATCGGGAAGATCTAAGTTCAGATCCAACCTCAGACATTTACTACTTTTAATTGTCACGTAGTAGCTGTGCGACCCTGAGCAAGTCACTTAACCCCAGTTTCTCTAAATGTAAAATGAGGATAATAATAGCTTCTACCTCACAGGATTATGAGGACAAAATGAAATAATATTTTTTTTAAGTTTTCCAAAATTTTACTCATCTCTGTAACTTATTTCTTTTTTATTTTATGGCTAGATTGATTTAGGTCTGACAGATTCATTGCTTGTTTCAGAGTCTTAACAGCCAGGCACCATATGTTTCCTTTGGTTTTTAAAAGAAGTCTTTATACTAGCACTGAGTTTTAATGCTAGCATTGAGAAATGTTCATCTAATGGATATTTCTGACCTAACTCCATTGTTATAATCTCTGGTTCCTAAGCTGTTTAGCAACCTTTTCCTTTCCTTCATTAAAGACTTTATGGTTAGATGTGGTACACAAGATGCACCAGGAATCATCCATGTAACTGTATCCTTTTGGCAGTGAGTCACTGAAATAATATTTATAAAAAGACTTAGCACAGTGCCTGCCACAGTCACTTATTTTCACTTTCACTTGCCTGTTTACATGTTATATGTAGACTGCTTGAGGACAGGGACACTTTTTAATTTTATCTTTGAATCTTCAGCACCTAGCACAGTGCTTTACCCATTGCAGTTTAATAAATGCTTGTTGGATTGAATTAGATTATGGTTCTCATATAGATTGACCTAGATAACTCCTGATTTCCTTATGTGAGGACAGAGTCATTTGGGGAATGACTGTATTTAGGACATAGAAACTTATTATTGTAATAATATATTAAATAATTATAATTTTTTAGTGTGTTCTGTTTCTTCTTCAGTATTTTCATGAGGCACAACTTGTCAAGGGTAACACCAAGACAATAATGACATATCCTGATATATGAAGTAGATGCTTTGATTGCCAGTGTATGGACTGATCATGAGGGGGTGAGGCATTATTTCCTCATGCCCTTAACTTGCTTTTCTTTCAGTGGCAGCCCTCAATTCTGTCTCCCCTATCACCATTATATCTGAATCTTTCCAGTTCATTGATTATCTTAATTGCTCTTTTTTATGCTTTTCAGATACTCCTTCACCAGCTTCTACTAATAGCCTGTCTTATTGGTGAGTTGCAATATGTCCCCTTCACTTTGGGACCTGATGGCTGCCTTAATTATAGTCTGCTAACCATCCATCCATCATGCAGTACACAAAGTCCTGGATTTAGAGTCAGAGGCTGTGGGTCCTAGTCCTGGCTCTGCCACTAAGTGACCATGAGCAACTCATTTAATGTCTATGAGTTTGTTTCTTCCACTATAAAATGAGCAGATTGGACCAGATGACCTTTAAAGTCCCTTCTAGCTCTAAGTCTGTGGCCTTTTGGGTGTTCTTCTTTCCACATTGTGCTTCTCTTAGAAGCAAAGATTGCTCTCTCAAATTTTCACTACTGAATCTTATCTGCTTGCTACCCACTCTCCCGCTACCAAAGCTGACCTTCATAGCCACACTATTTAGATGCCATTGCCTAGACAATTTGATTTTAAATACCATAAACTGGGAGCACAGGGTATTTTTCCTTGCTATGGGTAATTTTGGCTGTGCAAATTGGTCTGAAATATATGTACTGCAGCATACATAAAATTTGATATTTCATTCTCTCTACTGACAGCTCCTTACTCACCCATTCTCCTTTAGGGCTCTCTCTGCTTCCTCAGGACCAGGGATTTCCTCTGTCAGGCCTTATCTAGATGGTATTGGTGGGAATACGAGTCTCACACCCAGCCGCTCAAGTAAGTGGAATTATATTCCCAAGGGAGTGGTTTAAAATTTCAATTCATATTTCCAGCACTTTCCCTAGCCAAAAACATGCTTTTTGGCATTTTGATGTAACAAAATTTAAATGGAAAACGGTCTTTTTGGAAATAACTTATTTTAAATAACCTTAGGAGCCAAGAAGGGAAAAAAGTATTATTTTTATGGGTCATAATGGTTAAAATGTGAACCCAAACTAAACCTCAAGAAGCCAACGTAAGAAATGTTGTCACACTACTGACTACTAATTTGTCTCTGCTCACTAGTGAAAGTAAGCAGGGGTGGGGAGAGGTCCTGAGACATTTTATATTAAGGCCAAGGGAAAGAGAATGGATATCTGATACTATTGAGACAACATAATCTCTTTACTCTTATGTTTTAGCTTCAAGATAGAAACATACAATGCACTGGTGGATGAGCAACTTTATAACAAATTTCTCACACGCTGGCCCATACTGAATTTAAAAAAAAAAAAGGACCAATAAATTGAAATTTTTTGGTAGTTTTACATGGGTAGTATTTACCCTAATCTTCTCCTAATTCACGTTGGGCCAAAATATTCAGTTACCATAGTGGAAACTACTGCATTTGGTTGTTGTCAGCAAGCTAGGAAGGAGCTTATTTTCAGGGATGATGAATTCTGAAACCAAAAAGTCATCTGTATGTACCTCTCTTGGACAACTACCATCTCTTCGTCTTTCTTAACCATCCTTCCATCTCTAAGCACTTTCTACTTAATTGAACCTAAATCTCAGAGCCCAGCCTTATGAAAGACATGTGTAGCTCATCATCTCCCCTTTAGTTATAAGCCAACCCCTTATGCCTGCCTTTGTTTCCCTGCCACTGGGGCCCACAGCAGTTAAGAATTCCTGACAGGTCTTTTCTGCTCCCTCAGGCCAGAGTGTTGGTAGATCAGCACCAGAACCTCCTGTGGCTCTCCGGCTACCAGTCCTGCAGGTGAGCTCTACCTAACTTGCCTAATTTTTGCATAAATAACCCACTGCTCCTTGGGCCTCTAAACTAAAAGATATAGTAGGAAAGTGCCCACCTCTGGCTTTTAGCTAGAATGGCAGGGTGTAAATTGTGGGTAATGACCTGGGTTATCAGAGCATTATAGGGAAAGTTCTGAAGTAGGTGGGGTTTATTGTTATTATAGTTGCTGTCTACCATTTTCTGTTGAGTCCTGTCACATTTCCAAAGGATAAATATTTCCAGAGGATGCTTTTTTTTCCCCCTGGGGAAGGTAGCTACAATGATGCTTTTTATGCAAGAGGATAGTATCCCCTTAGTAAAAGGATTTGTTCTGTGAAATTTGGATTCAGGCAAAGGGCTGTACTTGTGGACCTAGGGGGCCACATGTAGGCTGGACGCAGAAGGTTCCCCACTCCTGGGATAGACCCAGGGGTCTGATCTACTGAAATAGATCAGTATTTATCAGTCTGATCTACTGAAATAGGCAGAACAGAAAAGGCATTAACCAGATGAATGATAAAACCCATGTTTTAGGTTAATTTCCATTGTTTAGCCTTTGGGAATATTTCTAACAAAACGTTCTTTTCTTAGCTCCAGGTCACCTCCCAGACACCTCAATTACATCAAACCAGGTAAGTAACTTGCACCTTATTCTATATATTTCTCCTTAGCAAGAATAGGGATGCCAAAGATGAGTCGTCACTCCAGAAAGGAAGCTTTCCAATGGCCCTGAAGAGTTTTCAGAAGATCCTGCACGCCAGAGGGACAGGGACATTAAAGACTTTGCCTACTCCCTGTGACCTATAGAATAAACTGCAGTTTAGGTGGAGGATGGATGAGTAATATCACATTTCCCTGTGGTGCAATGGATAGAGTACTGGCCCTGGAGTCAGGAGGACCTGAGTTCAAATCTGGCCTCAGACACTGGACACGTACTAGCTGTGTGTGACCCTGGGCAAGTCATTTAATCCCATTGCCTAACCCCCCCAAAAAACCCCCACCAAAACAAAACAAACAAAAAATTATGCCTAGTGGCTTGCATTATGAGTGCTATGTTGTTGTACGTAACAGCTCTGTATTCCTCTCCTCATTGCAGGTTCTCCACCAACAGAGGCAGATGCGATTAGTGAGGGACAGTGATGCATGGACCTTTCCCTGCTTTTGGATCAACCTCTCCCCCATCTCCCCATACTATCCTGTATACATTGCCAGTGGGACACACTATAGTTGTAGCTAATCTTCATGATGTCCCCAGAGTATTAAAAAAAAAAGATCCCTTAATCCTTCTTGCTTTCAAGGTACACTGTTATCTACTCAAAGATTCCTTTACTTTTTGGGTATCTGGGAAAAGAGGCAGACCTGAGATACTTCTATATATGGGTGCTTTGGAAAGATGGCTATTTTTCCTTCCACAGGTCACATGTAAATATCATTATCTCATGCAGTTGCAGTTAAAATGCAGGATGTAAACAGGCCCCAGTACAAATGTGAACACATATTCACCAACTACACTTCAAAATTGTTTCATTTCTTAGTTCAGGGTAGCATTTCCCATGGCCAGGAGCAAGCCCTCGGCATTAGATTCAATTCTTCCTCTCTTTACTTTGTCCTGTGCTTACATATTATATCCATATACTTGTAGCCCCTTTTAGGCCTAGTTACTATTATACAGACTTTTCCCTTCTCCTGTTTTTTTTTTCCTGTAAAAACAGGAGTGGAAGCACTTATGTTCCCAATTTATTGATTCATAAAGACAAAAATAATTAGGAAAATTTTTCCCGTCATCAATATTCTTTGTACCAACCACACAATTTAAAGCAGAGAATCCTCAAGGTTCTCCATTTTCCTAAGCATGGTTAAGAGCTCTGGGGTTGTAGAGAAGGCAAAGAAACACATTCCATTACTGAGCCAACTCAGAGGCTATTTGCTTTAAAGCTTTGATGGGAAGGGAGAGGTTATTCATGAGTGGATGAGCTATCTGGAGGGTACTTCACCACTACTCCACTATTATTAAACATCAAATAACTCCTACTACATAAAGATTGAGTGGCTTATAGAGAGTTCATGTGCTATCCTGGGAGAAGGGGTGTTTTTTTTTTTTTTAGGAATAACAATCCATCCAGGAAGCATACAGGGCAGAACTGAACCCCCAACTACTAAATATTATCCACACTATTATTGCAAGTGTCTATGTCTGTTCAAGGGACCCCTGCAAAGTCCATTGGGAAGCAGTACATTGTTAGTAACAGGGTAGCCACTAGTACCATGCCAGAATTTTGAGCAGTAACCACATCTCCCCATCCTAGATGGAATATACTATCAACATTCCTTAGTGATTTTTTAAAAACTTTTTTTTTAGGCAGTTGGGGTTAAGTGACTTGCCCAGGGTCACACAGCTAGTAAGTGTCAAGTGTTTGGTCTGAGCCTGGATTTGAACTCAGGTCCTCCTGACTTCTGGGCTGGTGTTCTATCCACTGGGCCACCTCTCTTCCTCCCTTAGTGATTTTTAAGGCGGGGGTAGGGAATAGCTCTTGAATGACTTTTAGTCTAAAATATAACTCCTGACTATTGGGTGTACTAAACTAGGCAGTGTTATGGTAAAAGGATCAGTTCAGTTTAACTTTATGGATGTGTGGGAGATGCCACATACACTATTTATATGTGAATCAATCAAATCCAGTTTCCTGTGATGTATGGACTAGAAAACTAAGGTATTTATAGTCTTGAGGATATGATGTAATAGGCTTATTCTTTGGCTCCAGAGGTCAGCATTAGAAGCAAGGAGGAAATTCCATGTAAGCCTCATGGTATGATGGAAAGACTGATGTACTTGGGAGTCTGGAGAGTTCTGGATTCAACTTCTCCAATACTCCAGGCTATGTGACCAAGAACAAGTCACTTAATCTCTCTCTGAACCTGTTTCTTCGTCTTTATTGGGTATGATATGGTTAGCTATTTACCTCAAAGGATTGTTGTGAGATTCCAATGAGATAGTATATATTAATTATATTTAAAATATTATATGGCAGACTTTATCACTTCATTTTAATGAAACTACTTCTTTAGAGTTGTCAAAAAACAAACACAAAAAACTCCCACCAGAATTGGTTGCTTCATGAGGTAGTGTTTCCTATTAACCAAGGTGTTGAAATAGAAGCTGGATGACATTGTGTCTTCAGGTAGAGGTTGGGTTATATGGCTCTCTGTAAGGCTGAGCATCTTTCAGGTTTGGGGTAGAAAATACTTAGACAAACTGTAGAACAAGATATTTGATGTAGTGATTGTAACAGAACTCGGATCCCACTTTTCTTGTGGGTTCCCTGAATACCTCTCTTAACCAGCTTCTTTTGTAGCACAGAGCTTATACAACAGCATACCTTGAAGAGCCAGTGCTCCTTCATTTCTACTGCCCTGTTGGAAAGGTTAAAAAATATTAAATATTGCCATTTGATGGCAGAGAGAACTACCTTGGGTTTGTTCAGTTTTTTCTAGGAATGCTGGTTTATTGCTTCCTTTTCCTTTATCACAATCCTCCCACACTCCCTCCAAAATAAAAATAAAAATGTAGTAAATTATAAATGTTATATCTCAACTTACTCCTTAAGATTCTAAGCCAAGAGTCAAACCTGCAAGGATGGCAAAGTGGAGGAAAGAGACAATTTTTTCTTTGCCTTTTTATTACATTTCTGGCAATCTGGGGTCCTTCCCCTTTTTCTTTCTCTTCAAAAAGAAACAGACCAATGATTTACACTTTCTTTTTATCCAACCCCAATTGATGAAAAACATTCCATAACAAACTAAAGATTAATTTAGGCAGAGGCCATAGTCCCTCTATTTCGAGACATTCAACATAAATTAAGGTGGAAAAAAGATTCTTCCCCAGTGCCAAAACCAATCCCCCAAACAAATGAAATGCCAGTCTTTTATGTAGCTTTGGCCTTAGGGAATGGGCAATAGAGATGTAACAGAGGACTGGTTTGTAAAACCAAACCTGGGACTATGTTCCACTGGGTTCATGAACGGCAGACACCTCATCACTATTTGCTTCTCTTAGGGTTAAGTTTTTGCTCTATTTTCTACCATCTATAGATTCCATCTAGATCAGCCACTACATTATTGCTGTACTTTCTTTGTGCTCACTGGGAAAATTGCCATGATATGGGCAGAATGTGGACAAGGCTTGATACAGGAAGGGGACGTATAAGGAGCAGGGTGGTTATATCAAAGTTAGTTTAAAAAAAAAACAGGATCTTAGGATTAGAAGTAGTGCATTTGCTACTGGTGACAGAGTGTGGATAAGTAGATAATAGCATAAGGTTTGAGTTAAAGTGGAAAGAATAAGGAAATATGTGAGTTAGAGACAGGCCAAGGTTCTACCCTACCTCTTGCCTTAGATATGTACTCGCATAGAAGAGAGTGAGGCAGCTTTGACCCTCATACTAAGGAAAATGTAGCAGAAATGGCAAGATGCACTGAACCATACACAAGTTTCTGCTGAACTTCAATCAGACCTCTTTACTTTCCTCCATCATTTGTCTGTATATGACTCATTATGGCCTCTAAGAATCGAGACCTAATTCCAGTCACTGTAGTAAACTAGGACAAAAAAGGGCAACACAAGCTGGGGGGGGGGAGGAAAGGGGGGAAGGAAGGGAAAGAGAGAGACAGAGATCTAGGTTCCCATGGCAACCCAAGGTAGTTTGGGTCAGATTCCTCACTCTCTTCAAAAAAGGAATGATAAAGGACAGACGACCTGTATTTCTGGTCTCCTGCCCCCCACCCCCCCACCCCAAGACCCTCACTTTCTGTCTATGTCTCTACCATCCCCCCACCAAACATACAGCCTTTCAGTTCTTTGTCAACCAGGTAAGAAAAATGAGGGTTTTTTTGTTTGTTTAAACAGTCACTAAGTTGGTTCATCTTCTAATAACAACACCCCCTCCCCAATTCCCCATTCAATCCTGTATGATCACTTCATCCTCTTCTTCTTCCTCCTCTTCCTCCTCACCCCCATCCTCTTCTGGAAGGTCGTCTTCCTCTTCTTCATCCTCTTCATCCAGACAAACTACCACCTCTGCTGGCTCAGGTGAACGAGAATAGAACCAGTCTAACACTTGCTGAGTGCTCAACCCTGACTCTAGACTCAGTCGAGGGAGGTCATCTTCTCGTAACTGTTGGTGAACCATCCAGTACCGTTCCAGGGGACTTGTGTCTGGGGGACGGGGAGGGAGAGGCGGTGGTGGCATCTCAGCCCATTCTTGCAAGGGCCGGGCTAGAGGCTGTGGAGTAGGGGTAGCTGGTTCCTGGTAACTGGGGGGGACCAGGCACTGCGTTATCCCGAAACCATTTCAGTTGTCCATGCTTGAGGGCATAGCGGGTGTCACCAAACCATTGGATAATCTCAGGTCTAGGTAGGCCAGTGATTTGTTCCAGTTTACAGTAATCCTCACGCCGAGCCCACTGACACTGTAAAAAGAAGGACTTTAGAATGGCCAGCTGCTCTTTGGTCTTGCGCTTGGTCTTACGTTGGCGCTGCATATCTGGAAAGTAGTACTCTGCTGGAGCAGCTCTGCCTGGCCCCGGGCTGTGTCTTAGACCCTGGGGCCAAGCTGGCTCTAAATGTGGAGGTAGTGCCTGTTCACTGGGGGAAGGTGGCTGAGGAACACATCCTAGTGACTGAAGGGGTTTAGAGGAGGCAGTGGCTCCATTAGCCATTACTCGGAAAGAGGAAGAAGAGGTAGAGGAAGGAGGCAGGATAGATGCTGGCTCCTGCCTGCAGCTATTGGCAAGTAATGCAATAGGGGAGGGCCTGTCCCGAGTTTGTGACAGATGGAAGCCAGTAGAGTGATCCCAGGCAGTAGTTCCCAGGCTGTGTGGCTGATGGTCAGAACCTCTGCTTATCAGCTCCTTGGAGAGACCACTTTGCAGTTCCTGCCAGAAACCAGGTTGATGGGGGAAGGCCCCACTGCCAGGTGCAACCAGGGGTTCCTTGGCCTTGTGGTGGCTCAAGGGCAGTAAGGAGGACTCTTCAGGCTCCATCTTTAACCGTTTCACCTGAGGGGGCTCACTAAGTGGCAGAGGGCCAATGTGAGTGCCAGCCGAGTCTGGGGTGGGTGGCACATCCTCAGGGGGTCGTCCTGCATGATGAGTAAGAGAAAGAAGGGATTTGAAGTGGAGTTGGTCCCGGTTGTAGACAACCCGGGCCCTAGTCTCCTCAATCTCTTCTGATGACCAGCTGATGCCGCAGCGGAGGCGCTGGGCCATAAACCAGGTCTTTACTTTCTCCATCTGCAGTCCATAGCGAAGGCAGAGCAGCGCAATGTCTGCTAGGCTGGGGTAGGGAAAGTAACTGAAAGTCCGTAACAAGTGCTCGTTGCCATCTAGTTCACTGGTCTGGGCAGCCTGGGTCCATACGAGCTGCAGCTCCTCTGAGATAGGAGGGAGGCAGATGAGCCCTGCAGGGGGGCTGGCAAAACTGCTAGCCTCTTTGTTTGGGGGCATGGTAAGTTCTGACTTGTGGCCTTCTGAGATGGCTGTAACAACAAGAGAAATATTTTAACCACTTGGCTCTCTTACCTGCCTCCCCTCTTCCCTGGCTTCTATCATCAAAATCTGTGTGGCAATGAGGGGAGGAAATGACCATGTGCACACTTTTATATATCCTATCTTGTCCCAATTCCAATTCCCTCTAGGAGTCCTACACCCTCACCCATCACCTTTAATGGGGGGTAAATGGTTAGTCTCTTTTAAAAGAAATAGGAGCTCTAATATTTATATTTGTCACAAACTGTTCACTAGGATGTGGAAAGCTTTGACAAGGACAGACAGGTCTATTTTTCTTTCCCTCCCTATAGTTTTAACTTAACTTTAACTTTACTTAACTTTAACTTCTTGTAAGTTATAACTTACAAGGAGGTGCTAGCTATACAAAGGATCGTTGCATCCCAGGTGGGGAAGTAGCTTTACTTGCCTTAGACTTCTTCCTCTCCCCCAAATCCCTACTGTGAGCCCTTTGTGATTTGGGAGTGGGGATCCTGTGGGAAGGGGAAGGGGGTACCTGCCATGTTTCCAGCTTAGCTAAGACAAACAAGTTAGTACACCTTAAGCCCAGACCTGGTGGCTTCACTTTTTGCTCTTCTCAGGCAAAAAAGAAGAAGCACATCAGGTTTTTGGGATGGTTCACTCCTACCAGGGACAGACACATACACAGGTCACATGGTGGTGGAGGAGGGAGGGAGAATTCTCTCCACCACTAAGTCCTCGTCTGAACAAAGATTAACCCTTTCCCCACCCCCACCCCCTCCTGCCTTTGTCTCCTCCAGCTGCTCAGCCACTCCCTAGGGGAACCCTGGGTGCTTAACACACTCCCTCACTACACTGTGCAGAAGGGCTGCTTTCATCTTTTCTGTCCGGTGGTCCTCTGAAGGCAGAAGTTGGCAGAGACTGTGGGTTACAGGGCAGCTCCTTCAGTAGTTCTGCCTAAAGTAGGCAGTAGTTCTAAAGCATTTCCCTGGCAGAATGGTGAGGGTGGGGAAGAACAAACAAGAAACCGAATGACTGGATTGTCCTCGAAGACTCCCCATTCTCATAAGCTCTGCTAATTTTCCTCAACATCTTCTCAGTACATTGAATTATAACCCCAGCTCTCGATAGCCTTGCTACTGTGTGCTTCCATTACTGTATTTATTATCCCTCTTACTTGAGACTATTGAGGAACAGCATGAAGAACATTGGATTTGAGGGTTACACCTGGTTTACCTTGATACTTATAAGCCCTGTGATATTGGTGGAGTTATTTAATCTCTGCTGGGCCCAAGCTTCCTCATATATAAAATGGAGTTGCTTTCTCTCTTACCTACCTCAAAGGGTTGTTGTAATGACCAAATGAGATAATGAATGTGAAAGTTGCTTGGTAAACTGTAAAATGTTATGTAAATATAAGATGGTAGTTGTTACCTTGGAGTAAATAATCCCCTTCTCCTTTATCTCTATGAAAAAAAATGCTTCCCAGTCCACAATGTTACTATTCTGAGGTGAGCAATATCTCAATGCAAATGATACTTAATGAGCTGAGAAGGTAAAGGAGACCCTGTGTCTGCTTGTTTCAGAAAGTTGGATGGGGAGCCTAGAAACATATGCTGCCAGATTTTTCATGATTATTGAGTTCAGGAATAATCCACTGTACCTCCTAGCCCTAGAGTATCACTGATGGTCACACAGCTGAATTTGAACTGGCTATGAAGTCAGAAAACCTGGATTCAAAATTTGCCTCTGATACTTACTGTATGTGTGGGCCTTAGTTTTCTCACCGTAAAATGTGGGGTGGGGAGGAAAAAATTACTGACAAATGGCCTCTGAAGTCCCTTCCAGTTTAAAATCTACTTTCCTATGATCCTATGATAAGACAAATGAGGAAAATGCCTAATGAATTCTGAAGATAATGCAAGATGTAGACTAGGAAGATTAGTTGGAATCAGGAGGTTTTCCTCTATTTTCCATTTTCTCAGTTTTGTTGGGTGGTTTAGAGAAAAGGAACATATCTTTGCACGTATTGGGGGAAGGTAGGGTAAAAGGCAAATTTGGGACATGTTTTAAGGGTAGAAAGACCCAAATCCCTAAAAGTCAATTATCCTTCTTGCCAGTTATGGTACATAACAAAGCATGATTTATTGGCTAGGTTGGTTGACCAAAAGTCATGCTCCAGGCACTTTAGTAGCAGTAAGACCCCAGACAAACCTCTCAATATCTTTGACCCTCACTTTCCTCATCTGCAAAATGAGGATAACAACAGACCGTATTATTGTAAAAACAAATTCCATAATGCATTTAAAATTGCTTTGCAAATTTGTAAGTGCCATGTGAATGTGAGGGCTATGATTATTAGCCATAGAACAGAGGATCCTACCTCTCTCAGAAGCTTACCCCTAATGTTTGGCCGGGGAGGTAGTGGTGGCAGAGAGAGAGCACTGCTAATATGGTCACAAAAGCCCTCTGGAATCCTTTTGGCCTAGAAATTGAAACCCACTGTGAATACTACAGAGATCCTAGTTTGAAAAATGCACTATATGGGCTGATTCCTCCCCAGAAGAATTTGGTTTGGAAAGGGGAGAAAACCACTAACCACATCCAGGGGCTGATTCATGAAAAACATAAAACAATACTTTGAGTAGGTCCTACCCACAAAAAAAAAGCTGAATGGAAGGCACTACAAGGGTTTCTAGGTCCAGTTTTGAGTTGAGGTTAAGGGTATGACTAGGAAGTTTCAACTGCATCTTCAAAAAAATCTTTTTTATTTTTAAGCGATCCCCCCTTCACATTCACACACTTCCAACCTTTCCAAGTTCCAGATAAAACAATCAATTCCGATTCATACTTTCTCTGACTTCCTCTAGGGCATTCCTTTCTCCTAAGCAAAGAGAGAAAGCCCAGAAGACAAAACTTTCAGAGGTAAGGAGAAGGAAGGGGGCGGGGGATTAGTTAGAATGCCCGGGACAGTAGGTTGATTTAAGGAGTCCAGCCCAGGTTTTCTTCTTCCCCCACGGAGGGAGGGACTCGGGTATTCATTTCGAGCCAGAGCCTAGAGTTGTGGTATGGAAGGTGGGTCAATTATTAGAATCCTGCCAAAGACCCCCAGCTTTGGCCGGTACAGTGGACAGAGGTACAGGCTTGTAGCTCAAGGTGATCTGAATTCAAATGCAAACTCAGACATGTACTAGCTGTGGGCAAGTCACTTAACCTCTATTTGCCTCAGTTCCTCATCTACAATATGGGAACACACTGGAAAAGGCAAACCACTCCAGTATCTTTGCCAAGAAGACCCGAAATGAGGTCATGAAGAGTCGTACATGACTGAATAACAAAGACCCCAAAGTTTCAGGCAGCAGCAGCACAGTCTGGGGAAATTTCTTGACCAGGGGATTTTGGGGCCCCAGAAATTACTCTCCAAAATGAGCAAAGGAAATGGTGGCATTGACTTAAAGATAAGCATATCGGGGGGTGGGAGTGGGGATGAAGGGTGGAGAGGGGAACCAGCAGGATTTGAACCTGGCAAAAAGGGCTGTGCCTAGTCGAATGAGGTTGGGGGGGGCAAACCCCAGCCTGTCTCGGAAGGGTGCTTGGGAACACGAGCTCGGGATCCTGGGACTGCAAGTTGGCCACCTGGGGCAAGGAGCGGCGGGGTTCTTTCGCAGTCTGGGAAAACTTAAATCGCACACCTTGGCTTTTTGGGCGTGAGGCTGTAAGGACTCTGAATGGGATGCCTCTGGTTCTGTCCATCCCTTCCACTCCCAATCCCAGCCACACGGCCCCAGCTCCCGGGAGGCGGGCCAGGTGGAGATGTTTGTGCAGGGGAGGAAAGAGGGGGCACCTCGGGCAGCCAGTTCCCAGCCCCGGATTTCGGGCTGTCAGGCCCGGGCACGGGGTGGAGAGTTTACCTTCCCCTTCATTTTCCAGTAGGTCCAAAAACAACAAGAACAAAAAAAGCGCCAAAGGGGAAAGGAAGTTGCAGCTTTCAGGGCCTCGGGTCAGCGGCACCAGGGTCGGAGCGGGTCTCGATCCTCCCGTTGCCAAGACCGGTGGGGGCCCTGCTTCCCTGCCCGAGACACCCGCACAGCCCCGGTCACCCCAAGCAGCGGGACGTGGGCCGGGCTCCCAGCTTCGGGCTCCCGTCCACCACGCCTCGGGACTGGGGTAGGGGGAGGTCCCGCACTCGGGGGTCACTCACCGCGGTCCGGCCCGGGCGGCGGCTCCCAGCCTCGCACCATGGACCGGGGGGAAAGGGAGGGAACAAGGGCCCGGGAGCCTCCAGAGTGACCGGCCCACTGCCCGGGGCCAGCACGGGGCCTGCCAGCACAGAGGGCCAGGCGGGACAGAGCTGAGCCGGGCCGGGCCGGGCCGGGCCGGGTCCGCTTCCCGGATTGCTCCGGTCCTGCCAGCCGAGCCCGGCCGGAGCTGGGGAATGGGGAGTGGGGCGGGGCCGCGGGGGTAGGCGGAGCGGGGCGTCCAGGCCCAGGCGGGCTGGGGCAGGTCGCGAGCCTCGATTGGCGGGGCTGGACTGGCGGCAGCGGGAGAAACAGGCTGGGGCGCGCCATTGGGGACACGGAGCTCCGCCCGGCAAGCTATTGGTTGTGTGTGGCTCCACCGGGGCGGGCTGCTGGTTGCGTGTGGCTCCGGGAAGAAGTCCCCCGAGCCCAGGGTGCAGGGAGTTGAGCCCCCGCCAGCCTGAGGCCGCCTACTAAGCTACGTCCGAGGTGCCAGGGCGTGGCCTCGCACATCCCCACCCACGCCGTGGGCTTCAGAGGGCAACCCCCCCCCCCCGGCCCCGGGCCAGAGGTTTTCCACTGCCCCGCCTGCAGCCACCCACGTGGTTTGAGAAGCCCAGCCTCCGAGCTCAACCCTATTAGCCAGACTAACAACAAACAAATCGTGAAAAAAGCGCCCTACTTAACTCCGCCCTAGAGACCCTCCGGCTGGGAAAGACCCTGAGAGGGTGACTCCTTAACTCTGGGGCAAGAGAACGAATGGTGTCTTTGCTAGGCCTTTCCCCCTTTTTGTTGTTTAGTCGTTTCAGACTCTTCGTGACCCCAAAAGATTCTGATTTGCCATTTCCTTCTCTGGTCATTTTACAGAAGAGGAAAGTGAGGCACACAGTGACTTGCCAAGGATCACACAGCTAGTACACGTCTGAGGCTAGATTTGTACTCAGGAAGATAAGTCTCCCTGACTCCAGGCGTCTGTTCACTGGACCACCTAGTGGCCATGCCTCTTCCCTAAGAAGGTAGAAACCACTGAACCTCTGGCCTGGCTTTGGGCATACTTGTATGTGAAGTTCTGAGAAGCTGTGACTCTTCAGATGTGGGGAGCTCCAGTTGAAGAACTTCCTCTACCGATACTGATAGGTACCTTATATAGTCTTAGGGTAGCCTGGAGACACTAAGAGGTTAGGTGACTAGGACAGTGATGTAGTTGGTATGTGTCAGATTAAAGACTTGAACTTGGACCTTCCTGCCTCCACAGCGCTGCCTTCTATCAGAGGTTCCCAAAGTGGGCGATACCCGCTCCCTGGGGGGCGCTGGAATGATTCAGGGGGCAGTAGTAGCCTCTGTGCAATTGGGGGGGGTCTTGAATAAAAATAAGGGGGTGGTGGAAGTATAAGGAAAGAAGAGAAGAAAATTTTGAAAAACCATTAGTACATGTTTCATCTGTTGTGTAACAAAGTTAAAGTCGTAGTGATTACATTATTTTCCAGATAAACACAGAAAATGCAAGTTATAACAGATCAGTGGTCAAGTCCCATGACAGGTCTTAACAAGCAAGTGTTGGCAGGGCAATCCTGTAGCATTCTCGGAAAGTCTAGCATTCATCAGCAGGAATATGTGCACTGAATGACTTGTTTACAATACAATACTATACAGTTACATGATGCTATTGCTGTCATTAAAATTTCAATGCAGGAAAAAACTCACAAATTTACAATAAATTATTAAATTTAAGATGTCTTTTTTATTTATATATTTTTTGAAATGATACAAATTTCAAAAAAAAAGTTAAAGGGTTAAAGAAAGATTGGGGGGAACTAAGTAATTTTTTTTTAAAGGGGGCAGTAGGCCAAATAAGTTCAGGAACCTCTGCTCTAGATCCACTAGGTCATGCTGCAACACTTGCAGGGCTTTCAGTTTCCCTTAAAAGTCTTCTCCCATAGTCTAACTAAAATTCCATCTTCTCCAAGAAGCCTTTCAGATCCTCTTAAAACTAGTGCTTTTCCTCTGATTATCTCCAATTTATCCTAAGTATATCGTGTTTGCTTGTGTTGTTTCCCCTTGCACTCCCTCCCTAATCCCCATTGGACTGTGAGCTCCTTGAGAGCAGGGACCGAGTTTTGCTTTTATTTGTATTCTCACTGTTTAGTACAGTGCCGAGTATTGAGTGCTTAATAAATAAATGCTTGCTGTCTTGACTCCACAAGCCCAGAAAACTCTGCCACCCCCTTTGCCCTGACTAAATTACATAACACCTTTTCTCATACAGTTTTTAATCTCTTGCCATTTGGGTCTACTTCACAGTACACTTAATCCTCATTTCTATAGGATTTTCCTCATAACCACCTTGCTAAGTAGTTAGTAAGAGTATGTTTTAAAGGGTAGAGAATAGCCTCAGGGAGGTGAAATGTTTTTTGTTCAATACACAGGCCTCAATTCTTCCCTCACAAGGGAGATCTCCAGCTTTTACTTTAGGTTCTACTGGTCTTATTCAGGGTCTAGAGCCCCTTTTGGTTACCAGGTACCCTGATTGTAGGGAACTGTTCAAAATTGTGGTGCTGTCAGGCCTGTTTTTGGCCATGAGTCCTGTTTCAGAACTTTGAAATACAACTATATGTAATCACGATCCACAATCCCCCTCCTGCCCACCAGTCAATATATGTTGTGTAGGTAGCCTTCAAATTAAAATTTGGTAAGGTTATCATTCAGGGACATAGCCTCACAAAATGAAACCACAATAAAGGCCTAGAAACTTTCCACATCTCAGGTTAGAGACCTGGATGTCACTCTCAATTAGGAGGGAAGCCCAGAGACTTTTGTCAAAGCTATGCACACTTGTGTTTGTGTCTGGTAAAGTTAGAGTCTTGGTAGTTTACAGCCCTCAGGTTCCAGTACAGCATGGAACTGGATTTGTAGTCAGATGACCTTGAGCAAATCACTCAGAGCCTCAGTTTCCTTATCTGTAAGAAAATGAAAGGTTTGGACTAGCTGACCTTTAAAGTTCCTTTCCAGCTTTCTATCTGTAGTCTTACAACCTAGAGGATAGGACCTCAATGAAACAAAGCTGGATTGACCAGCAGACATGCCACTGTGGCAATGAAACCAGACTAGGGGGTGGAAAGGAAACAGATTGTGGGGATTTCCCACAGCCCGTAATTAGTCCTGGGGAGAGTATTGGAATCACCCTAGGGCAGCAAAGTTTTGGAGGTGGGTTACTTCATACAGACTGAGCCTAAACTGATTCAGAAGTTATCTTGTCTCTGTGGCTCAGGAGAGGTGTAAGGGCTTGCTCTGCGAAGACCAAGGAGGAATTCATGGCAAGGGAGTTGTCGCTTAGTCTTCTGACTCTTCCTGACCCCATTTGGGGTCTTCTTGGCAAAGATACTGGAATGGTTTGCCATTTCATTCTCTGGCTCATCTTACAGATGAGGAAACTGAGGCAAACAGTTAAGTGACTTGCTCAGGGGAACACAGCTAGTGTCCAAGGCTAAATTTGAATTCAGGAAGATGAGTCCACAAGGGAGGGGAGAAAAACCCAGGAAAGGAATATAAAGGCTCTATTTTTTAAATTATTTCCCATAGGAGGGAAGGTAGAAAGTGGGAGCACAAGAAAGATTAGATTGACTGAAGCAGTAAAGGGCCTTTTCTAGCAAAACAAAATCGCTTTTCTTATAGCTAGAAATGAGTATGGAAGCAAAGCACATTTTCCCCTCACCCTCATCTTGACCAATTCTCTAAGGTTTGTTTTTCTTTTTTTTGCTCATGCACTCAGCAAGTGAATTATATTCTATTGACTGCAAATATTCTTTGATTGCATGAAGGGACAGAGCTAATGTAAACTAGAAAAGCTACTTATAATTCTTAGAATGGAGGATGGGGACAGCAAAAGATGCATTGAAGAAGCTTGAAGGTATTGAGCAATGGGGGTGGGGGAGGGCACAGGGTGGATGTGGGTAGGCAGGGTTGGAAAAGCTGGAGTGTGGTGGAGAGCCCAGGAGGATTGGGTGTCATGAGGCCATCCCCACTCACCTCTCCTTGAGTCTCTGTTCCTCATGTTCAGTCTATCCTTCAGCATGTCAGACTTTACTTACAACACCTTGATGGGAAGGGAAGTGGAGGGGGGCAAGCTGTAGTGACATCATAGCTTACTCATTATGATGTAACTAGGAGGCACTTGATTATTCTTTGTCCAGGGCCTTCCAGGGATAGGAAGATTCTGGCCCCAAACCTAGAGTTAGTCAGACTGTACCACCATCAAGATGGGGGGGGTGGGTAGAGGGAAGGGAGGCAAGAAGACCTGGGTGTTTCATCCTTTCAAGGTAGGGAGGAAAGCTATTTTTCTCTATTATTAGTTTACTCTTTGCTATCCCATTCTGGATAGGGCAGAAAGGCTTTTATGCCTTTTTCACTATGCTGTTTCTTATCCTCCCTGTTTTATGGCTGCCCACGGTTGTAAGGAGATGGGCTTTGCTCTTCCCCATGACTAACGGAACAGAAGGATGTAACCCTCAGGGAAACCTTCCCCTAACTAGCTCAAGACTTGGGGGCTTGTTTTGAGGCACAATTAAACTGAACTCTCTTCCCCAAAGTGGTTCCTGTGACTGTAGTAGCAGCTGGCAAAGTATGTAAAGGAGCCAAAATTTTCCACTATTGGCTTTTCCACTGCCTGAAAGATTCTGGAAAACCACTAGGGTAAGTGTCCTACTATAACCCCTAACTTTCTGCTACCTTTCCCTACTTCATTCCACCCTCACCTTACACAGCTTTATATAAGAATCAGGAGTCCGATGGGACTTTGAAAAGTCACCTCTCTTGATAGAAGGGTGCAGCCCCATCTCTGACAAAGAGGATGCCTATTTGCCCACCTCCTACAAAATCCCCTCTCCCAAGCCCAGAACACATCTGCTTATGCAGGTGGTTCAGAGATTCCATTTTAACTCTATTTTTTATTGGTTAGAAAAATAAGTTTTTATATCTGGAAAAGAGGTAAGGGAAGGGTGTTGTGTTCAGACAGGTGGTCCAGAATCAGGTGCAAGATATGAAAATACAGAGGTGGGGGGCATATTGTCATGCTGGAGCTGGAGTCATAGTGTTATAGGATGTGAGGGCATGGTGAGGATGCAAGCGTACATTCAGCCGATTTAAATTTCCTCTCATCTGCTGCTGATAGAGTCATGGATTCAGAGTCTTCAGGCAACTTCACTGCTCATTATCACCTCCAATAAAATGGAAGACAAGGGCTGAGGGCAGAGGAAAAACTCATCAGTTCATTTTACTATTTTTTAACATCATATGCCCCATTGTGAATGTTCTAAAACTTTTTCTCAAACCATCAGACCTTTTAAAAGCAGATAACCAATCTCCTACTTCAATGGGAAGATGGAGGCCATCCAAAGCGATCTCTGATTTGCTGAATGGCATCAATATTTCCTATTTCAGAGGAAATCATATTCCTAAGTATTGGCAAAGGCTGATCTTTTTAGTTGTGGCCTTGATCCCTTTCCCTCATTTCTTGGACTCCTCTATCCCAACTTCTTCCAGGACCTTGCTCCAATAATTGAACTCCCTTGCCCCGACACACACATACAACCTCTTTATCTCCACTGCTTCATTCTCATGAGACTATAAACATGTTCAAGTCTTTCTAGTGCCCTCCTCCAAACCTTTCTAGCAAATTCAACTATCACCCCATTTGTCTCTTTCCTTTAACTGCCAACAATCTGGTGGATCTATGATTTTACTTCTTCGGGCAACTCCTTCCACTAATCCAGATTATAAAGCATTCTTATAATTCATTATAATACAGTCTTTTCATCCTGTGCCATTATCAGTTTCTTAATTCTTCCACAGAGGCATTCCTCTGGTTTACTACCAATCTTCATCAAAAAGTTGTTTATATCTGATGTGTTTCTACAGGAACCATTCTCCTCAAGCTCTTACATTGTTATGTCCCACACAACTCAACTACAAGTGGTCTCTTAATGCCAAATCCAATGACCTTTCTTAGTCCTGTGAAATTGAAAATTGATTTTTAATTGTTTTTGTTTGGTTGGTTTTTTTGGTGAGGCAATTGGTGTTAAGTGACTTGCCTAAAGTCACACAGCTATTAAATGTTCTGTGTCTGAGGACAGATTTGAACTCAGGTCCTCCTGACTCCAAAGCCGGTGCTCTATCCACTAGCTACCCCTTTAATTCTATTTGTTAAAACTTAATCAAGCCAGCATAGATTTAACATTTTCTTTCCCAGTGAATCTAAATCCCTTACCCTTGCAAATGTACTCAGGCAACCTTAGGTCACTTGGGTTTCCATTCTATTCTCAAGACTTGTACTTCCACTCTGGTAACCTCCCCCCCCCCCCATTCTGGAGAAACTGGCATCACAAAGGTCAAGCTCATCAATCACAACTATAGTAGCAACTCCCATTGCCTAGACTAATGTCATCACCTGAGAACTGATCTCATCTTCCAGTGATGTAATGGGGAGGAGCTGAGATGACATTTATCCCACCTTCTCAATGAAATGCCTAGCCAATTAGAAGACACACCTATGTTGCCTGAGATTTTTCTGTTGGTTAATGACTATAAAAGATTCTATTGTCCCCAACTTGAAGTCTTTGGCTACTGAGGGTCCATTGACCCCTTTTATTGGCAAACGCCAACCTTGCTAATAAAGGGAAAATGCATGGAACTTTATTGCCTCAGTTTACCTTAATTTCTATCATGACAGTACTCATACACCTTGATTTCTTTGGGCTACTGCCTAGTCCCTCCTGGATACTTTCTCTTCCCTGGCTTCTTAGACATCAAACTGTTCTGATTCTTCTCCTCTCTAATGGCCCAGAATCACAGAATTTCAGTTGGAAGGCTCCATGTCTTTCCTTTCTGACCCTTTAAGGAAGGTATTTCTCAGTGCTCTATACTTGGTCCTCTTCTCCCTGCTACATTGCCTCCCTTTGCCCACCTTTCTCTCCAAAGCTTACAATGTTGTCCTTACACAGATGAATCCCAGATGTTTCAAGCCCTGACCTTTCTCCTGAACTCCACATAAACAGCTCCAAGTGAAAACTAATTCCACATGCTCCAAAAAACCCCCCTAAAACTAAAAAAACCTTTCTATTAAAACCTATTCTTTCTTCTAATAACTGTTTTGTCACCATCTTTCTCGTTAAAAAATTTTAACCTCTTCCTCACCTCTCACAGGCCATCAATTACCAAGTAATTCTCTTCTGTAGCATCACCTGCATCCTTTAGTCCCACTGCTACTAACCTAGCTTAGGCCCTCATGATTACCTGCCTAAATGTTAACATGTTTTTCTGCTTCTACTCTTTCCTCAAGTCATCCTTCACCCCACTGCCAGATGTCTTCATTATGCACTAATCTAGTTATCTCATTCGTATTAATTGTTCAAAGGCTTCCTTCTTGCCTGTCATCCAAGGTGTCACTCTACCTTTTCTAGCTTAATCTCATACTACTCCCCCTTACATACACCGTGCTCCAGTCAAACTGGTTGCTTGCTTGTATCCTGTACTTGACTGTCTAGGGCCCTTTGTTCTCACAGTTCCTTTAAGTTTGTCATACTCTCCCCACTCCCAGAGATCTGTTGAATTCCTAGGTATCCTTCAAAGCCCAATTAATTGTCACTTGCTGAAAGCCTTCCCAAGTTCTCTGCCAGCCCCCCAATCTCAGGTGGTAACCATCTTCCTTGGAATCCTTCCCCGAGAACTCACATGCCAGGTTGCAGCTCTCTAATGATGCATAGGATTGCTTTATACTGTGATTGTTGCTGTTATGTATCACACCCCAGACTATGTGCAGGGAGGGGCCTCGTATTATCTGAACTTTGTGTATCGCCCTCTGCCCTGCCAGCAACTTAACACAATGCTCTACACATTTTTGATGCTTAATGAAGTCTGCTGAACTGAAATGTTTAGAAGGCTTAGTAGGGGAACAGTGAAAATTGTTGCCTAAAGATGGGGGTTTGAAGAGAGATGTTTGATTTATGCTACCTTTGTCAAAAAAAGCCAGGAGCTTTTTGAATGAGGAAGTATTTTTGGCCAGGGATTTTCTGGGGAAAACCTAATCCTGGGAACGGATACAGAAAGAACACAGGATTGGGAGTCAGGGGACCCAGGTTATAGCCCTAGCTCTACCATTAGCTTGTCTGAGTGACCCTGAATAGGTTACTAAATCTCTCCAGACCTCAGTCTCCTAACTTATGAAGTCAGACTAGACAATTTAAATTCCCTTTTAGCTTTAACACATTTTGTGATTGTGAGCCCCAGTGATAATGGCTATCACCCAGTTTCTTATGAGCCGTACATGAAAAACAACAGTTGGACCCCAGGGGTAAAATGAAGAATGGGTTAGGGATACAACTTAGGTATGTGATGGAAATCAATTACAAAAAGGAGGGCCCTTTCCAACTATCTCATTTCTTTCCCCCAGTCTTACTCAAAGTGAGAACCTGAAAAGACCTTAGCTTAAAAGAGCCAAGGTCCCCCACTGCATTCTGGGCCATCTCCAGTTGTCCTGATTGATATCTGGCCACTGGACCCAGATGGTTCCGGAGGAGAAAGTAAGGCTGGTGACCTTGCACAGCCCTCCATCACTCGTAGTCAATTGCAAGTCATGTCATCAACTCCCTGATGTCATGGTCCTCAAGAAGGAAGGATAAACACAATTTCCTTCCCCCAAAATTGCAGCCTCTCGTTCAAGAGTGAATGTTGTGTCCTTTCAGCATGGTAGTAATTTCTGTTGCTTAGCATTTTCCGTTATATATTTTTGGTACATTATTAACGTTGGAATAAAGAAATAACCTAGCCCCTGCTACTTTCCCTTTTACCCTACCATGAAGTCTCTTCCATTTCAAGTTAGGCTGGGCCAGCCCTGAGAAACTAGTGGTTGGTTTCCCTTTGGGGATGGTTAGTCTTGCCCGTCACCCTGTTAAGGATGTGGGCAGGTCGATGGGTAGGAAAGTTTTGGAAAGAGAAAGGGATGGGGTGGGGGGAGATACACACACTGACATTTTTTGGTTGGCAGGACTGGTGGAATCCATGGTGCTGCATGTATGTGGGAGGGTCTGGGCGGGGGTGGGGGGGTGGGGGGGTGTTCATCTTCTAGTGCCCAGGCTGGGAACAATACAACCCAATGATAGCCTCTACACATTGAGCCCTCCCAGAGAACTTCAAAGCATTGGGGTCTATACCATACTCCTTTCAAAAATGCATAGCAGGCCCAGGAATGTTAAGATTAGCCCAGTAAGGAGAGAAACCAACTCATCAATTCAGTTCATAACTATATGTACTGTGGGTGCATGTTTTGAGGAGGCATAGGGGACATCTGCTCAGCTTCCTAGAATTCTAAATGATAAGGGTCACTGAGAGTCACAGAAACTGAGTCATTGAATTCCACTGAACCTGAGCTAAAGAAAACACTTGTGAAAGGAGGGAGCTCAACAAACCCATTAGGATTCCCCTGGGTCCTCTCACCCTCAATCAGGCCTTGCACTTACCCACCCATCTGCAGATTTCCAAAGCCGCCTTAATCACACCTGACTTCTAGTATATCCCCCCTCCTTGCACTTCCTAGGCTATTTACAGGAATATTCCTTACAAACTGTAGTTTGCAAAGTTAAGGGTTTGGAGGGAGAGACTGGAGCCCAGAGATCTCCAGGGCAGCAGGTTGGAGGAAAGTCTCCTATGGAGGTTGATGTTGGGATAAAAGCATCAGGAAGGGAACCTGGGACCCAGGAAGTCTCATTCATACCTGCAACAGACATTTGCTAACATTGCACAGGCTTTTGTTATGGCCATGATTGAGAGGATATAGCAGCTGAGGTTCATGAGAAGCCCCACTATAGCCTCCCCTCCTCCCCCAGTCCTTTGACCTCTTCAAGCCATGTCTGGGGAGATAACATGGAGTAATGCAGGGAAATCAGAACCAAAGATCATCTGCTTATAGAATATAACATATATGAAACTGCTTCAAATGTGCCTAGTCCTTATTGACTACCCTCTTTCCTCTGTTCTCTACCCCTTTTCCCTAACACACATTTTTCATTGATTTCTGTACTATGTATTATTAAGTGGGGGTGGCTGTATATTGTATTTTTATTTTTTTTACTTTTTTGGTGAGGCAATAGGAGTTAAGTGACTTGCCCAGGGTCACACAGCTAATGTCAAGTTTCTGAGGCCAGATTTGACTCCAAGGCTCTATCCATTGCGCCACCTAGCTGCCCCCATGTATTATTGTATTTTTACAAGTATGATGTTTCTTCTTGACCTCTGCTCAGAGGAATACAGGGTTGGCTGGACACCAAAGGAGCTATGGCAGCCTCTATTACGATCAGAACCCACAATCCCTCTTTCCCAATACAGGAGGCTGACAGAGAGGAGCCAGTAAATCCCCCAAATTTGAAGAACCCAAATAAAGTGGAGAGGGAAAAAGCTGATTACCTGGGGAAACAGGGTTCTTCTGGGTCACCAAGAAGAAACTGCTGTTTGCCTTCTTCCCACCTCGCCTCTGGAAGACTTCCAAGAGGGAGGTCTGAGGACAGAAGAGGGCAAATGGCTCAGAGTCTGGGAGATCAGCAAGCAAACTCTTCATTCCTTCTGGAGGAAGAAGGAAAAGCAGAGAAGAGATGGATAGGGTGAGGGAAGAGAGGGGAGGCAGGGAGAGAAGAGATAGGAAGAGGGATTAAAAACAAGAAAGGGAAAAGACAGTAAAGAGTTGAGAAACAAAGAAGCAAGCAGAAAAGAATAGCAGGAAGGGGAAATGCCCAAGTAAAGAGTCGCTTGTTCAGGAGACATTATGACTGGGCAAGATAGAGCTGGCCCTTCTTTCCATTTCCCAGCATTATGCATCAGTTTCTACATTCTGCACTTCCCCTTCAGACTACTTTGTTATTCTTAATTAATAGATGTGAGATGTTTTTCCTTGCCCCAGTCATCCCTTATTAAGGAAGAGTCAGAACCCTTGGAGTCACCTAGTACCTGGGGCTTCTGAGCAGTGAATTCCCTCTCAGGGACAATATTCTTTTTAAGACACTCTGGACAACCTAGCTTCAGGAGAAAGGGACTCCTTGAATGCATTATAAAGACAGCAAGTGACTAGTAAGGGACAAGGAAGGGTTCTTTGAAGGAGGAGGCTAAAAGGTGTTGTGGATGTTCTTAATTGGTTCCATTACTGTAGCACACCTAGCCCAGATGTTGCAAAGAGCCACCCAAAGGACTGGCCAGATGCTGGGGCTTCAATTTTTACAGTCAGACTACTAAGCTGGAGGGTCCTTGGCATCTCCTCAAGGCTCTGCTACTCCTTCAGAAATAAAAGTAAATTTTAAAAGTAATTTAATTCAACTCTCCCATTTTAGAGATTTAAAAAAAAACAAGTTTCCCAAAGTTAAAGGGTAGGCACAACATTATCCAGCTTAGACTTTTTTTTTTTACTGTGACCATGGGGCCCCCTTTTTCTATTTTAAGTTACTCTTCTGTAAGATGGAGACAATTATTTTCTGTTCATCCAATTCCTCTTCCTGAAAAGTGTATCTAAAATGTACTTTGAGATCTTTACAGACCACTTCACAAAAGCAAGGTTGGCACGTAAAGTCTGTATGTCCCAGCCATTTTTGAGGCCTGAGGAATGGATGAACCCTGCCTACTTCTTAAACTCCCAGAGCCAACGCAGACTGAAGCCTCAAGAAAAGAATTAGCAGGGCTGCCTTAAGTTGGAAATTCCAAAGGGTAGACAACTGACAGAGTCACTTCAAAGGGGATTCAAGATGTGACACTAGGGATCCAAGACAAATTACCAAATTGGAGGGCAATTGAAAGGAAGAACTGAAAGGTATGGCAGAGTTGGATAACCCCAGGTGGAAAACTGTAATGACCACAGCTGAGAGTTTGACTTCCTTTGGGTGCCATCTATATTCATCCTCTCTTGCCCATCCCTTCTCCCGACTTAATTTAGAAGGGTCAGGTTTCTAGGGTCCAAGATTCTCTTCCCTTTCAGTGCCCAGCCCGTGGGACTGGCAGAGAAAGTTAACCAGGGATCCTTGGAGAGCCTAAAGGAGCCCTTTTGTTTTCTGGAGCACTTCCCCCAACTTGTGAGTCGAACTCAAGCAATTCTGAGGCTTCACCAGACCCGTCCCCTTTAGTCTACGTTTTGGGGGAGGCTACAAGTAGCAAGAAAGTTGGATCTGGGGAACCCTCGTTCAGATCTTCGCTCTGCCATTGAGAGAACTGGTAAGTCCTCGAGCAAGTGACTTCACCTCTGATAGCCTCAGGATCTCATCTCCAAAATGAAGGGGTCAGACTAAATGACCTCGAAGGTCCCTTCTAGCTGTTAGCAAATGACCTCCTCAGCCTGCTGAGCAGAACAGCACTTACACCTTTTTTCCCCAGAGTCTACCTAGGTTTCCCTCCTCCCCCAAACCCCTTTGGTTTGTACTACAGCTCCGAACTATCTCTCCTCCACCCTCCCCCCGCCTGAAATATTGGTCTCTTCTTCCATATTCCCTGTTCCCACTGGATTCATCCATTTGGTTTCTCTCATTCTCCTGCGCGTGCGCGCGAACTACCTCCCTGCCCTCTCCCCTCCGTTCAATGAAGCTTCACTCCCACAATTCTCACTCAACCAGCCTTGGCTCCCCCCAACCCCGTGTTCCTTTCGTTTCTCCCTCCGTTTTCCGCACTTTCTCCTGATCCCTGGGTTTCCCTTTCCGCGCTCAGATAAAGTGGATCCAGCCTTGGGGTTCCGGGTCGCCACTGCCACCGGGGGAGTCGGGGCCCCGGAGTGCGTAGTCGCGGCCGCCGTTGTTGTCCCAGAACTCAAGACCTGTTACGCGGTAGCGCAGAGCGAAAAGCAAAGAGCCCCCAGTGGGCGGGGCCGGCAAGCGGAAGGCGAATCGATCTGCACGCGGCGGGGGCGGAGCCGGGCCTGCGTAGGTGGCGGGAGCTTCGCGCTGGCTGCGCCAACCGTCCGCGCTCCAGCGCACGCTCACGCGCTTCTCGTAGGCCAGGTCCAGCACGCGCGCGCTCCCAGCCACGCCCAGCGGGCCCGCCTCTGCTCGTTCCAGGCATATGCGCTGGGCCTGCAGGCGGGTGGCGAAGCCGGGCTCGCGGGCGGGCTCGAGGGCAGCGCGCGCCTCCTGCCGGGGCACGGGGAGAGGGAAGAGAGAGAGACAGAGAGAGGACAGGGTCAGAATGAGGCATTGGACCAATAAGAAGCCTGCACTGGTCTGTCCGCTGGGGAAGTCCGGGGCTTGCCTTGGCCTAGCACACTGGGGAGGGTACCATGCAGAAAGAGATATGGGGGCCAGTGTGGTGGAGGTGGGGGGAAATGGAGTGGACCGCTTCCCGACACTTCACCCGCCCGTCCGTTCCCCCTTTGGGTGCTGGCCCCTAAGCTCCTACCTGGAGGCTGCGGGTTCTGGGGGGACAGGGCCCGAAGTGCCGGAGGGCGTCGCGCTGCAGCTGGATCTGCACGTGGCGGGGCACGCGAGGAAGCTCCCCAGGGCTGAAACGGCGGACAGCCGCCAGCTCCAGCCCCAGCGCGTCGGCGAAGCGCACCCGCTTGCGGGTGTCCGGGCTGCGGCTGCGCGGGGCCCGGGTGCCCCCTCCAGCGGGGGCAGAACGGGCCCGCCTGCCCCGCCCGGGGGCTAAGGCGCGGGAGCGAGGCCTGAGGCGCGCCCCGCCCCCCTCGCGGGGCTCCGGCTCCTCCTCCTCTGGCTGCAGCTCCTCCTCCAGGCTGGGCCGCTGGCTGCGGTAGTAGGCGCGCTCACTCAGCGCCGCGATGAAGCTGAGGTTGCGGGGTATGTCGGTGCGGGGGGGCCTCTCCCGAGACATGGCACCCCCGCTCTGGCCGGCAGGGCAGCCGCTTCGCGGCGCCGCCTCGGCCCGCCTCCCCAGCTGTCGGCTTTCCGGGCGCTCGTCTGTGAGGGAGCCCCCCGCGTCCGCTCCTCGGCGGGCCAGTCCGGCCGTCAGCTTCCAGCATCCCTCTCCATGGCTCCTCCGCGACCTCTCGTCTGGGCCGGCGGCTTCTCTGAGCGTGCGCTTACCGCGGGGCGGCCCGCGCCCTTCGTGCCCCGCGGCCACAGCCTGCTTGACAGGTGGCTCCCCATCTGTCTCCGCAGCCCGCTGCGCCAGGGGGCGGGGACTCCGCCCTCCCTGGGCCCAGGCTGGCCCCAATCTTTGGCGAGCCCCGCTGCCTCCCGGCCCACCAGGGGTTAACCCGAGTCTGGAAGGGCACCGGCTGGGGAAGGGTTAAAACGTCCTTGCGATCGAGCGTCCTTGTCTTCACTCTCTCCCCTGCCTCCCCTTCCACCCCGTCCTTGTCGTCAGGTGAGAAGGTTGGGCCGCCTGGCAGAGCGTCCCCGTGGGCAGCGAGATGCGGGAAGTAGAGGGTAGGGGGCAGAGCGGAGGGATGCAGTCTGGCTTCGGTCTGTGAGTCCCGGGAGGTGCGGGGAGGGGAGCTCGGTTTTGACACAAGCTTCTAGGACCCCACCCTGGCCCCTCGGTGGGTGGCCTGGACCCATGCTCTTGCTGGGTCTTTGATTGTGCCTTCTGCCCTCTCATACTTGAAAGGGGAGGCACCCCTCCCTAAAAACAGTTTTCGACCTTGTCACAATTTTTATTTCTTAAAAATAAACCAATGGAATATCAACAGCAACAACAAAATAAATCCTAACCAAATTCATTTGTGGATTTGGAAATATTTCTGAGATTCATTTCAGTTCAACAAACATTAAGCACCTGCCATGTGCAAAGCACCGTGCTAGGTTCTGGGGATACAGATAAACCCAAAAACAAAACCCTTGCCCTTGAGAAACTTGGAATCTAACATAGGGATATTCTGAAAGAACTACACAAATAAGTTAAATAATGATTCAAGTGAATAGGAGCAGTGAAACTTAGAAGATTAAAGGAGCTAACAGGGATATCCAGGAAGGCTTCATGAGGGACTTGGCAACACACACACACCTACACACCCCTAAGCAGAGAAATTGTTAAGTGCTGCTTAACATATTGCTCTGTTGAATTCTCTCACGTTTTGAGAGAGATTAAGCCTTGAAGGGGATATGGTATAGGAGGATGGGACTTGCAAGAACACAGGACTGATGATCAGCGTTGGAGGGCTTAGGTCAGCCAACTAAGAAAGCATTTAAAAATAGAAACAGAGATGGTTGGTGAGCCTCAATCACAAAAGACTAGATGGAAGCAAACTGGATGCTCATCACAGAGCTGGAGTTTGGGGAAATTATGAAGAAGCGGAGAAGTTAAGAGTGTAGGTGGCTTGTAGGGATAGCAGCTTTTTTATGAAGCAAAGGGCTGAACCTTGGACCCAGACAGAAAGGATTTTACCTTTTCATGGTCTGAGGGGGCTGGAAGTAGAAATAAAGGAGAACCATATAATAACTCCCATGTATATAGTAGCACTTGAAGGTTTGCAGAGCACAATGGATACACAATCACATTTGGTCTCATCACTTCCCCGTGAAGTAGATATTACATATGTACCTTTCTACATTTTATGGAGAGAAAAGGGGCTCACAAAGGCTAAGTGACTTCTACTCTGGGGCCAGCATTCTTTCTATACTGATCTGGTTTTATGCATATATTTCACTGTGTTTGCCCCTAATTAAATTATAAGGTTCCTTAGGAGCAGGGACCAGGTATGGATTATTTATTTCTCTTCTAGTGGCTAGAATTGCAATTTTACAGGTCTACTAATTTGCCTGTGGCACACTTAGGGGTCACACAGCAGGACTGGAATCTTCTCTACCACCTCCAGGTGGAGCACTTTTTCTCCAATAGTATGCTGACTCTATGTACATATATGCCCCTTGTTAAGGGCAGGACTGTGAATATCTACTCTGGTTTATTGCGCTGTAATACTTAGATGAATCTGTGATCCATTCACTGTATGACTTACTGGATAAATCCTAGTAAGAAGCATAGAAAGTAAGGGACTTGTCTAAGGTCCCATAGCTAGTAGGTGTCAGAGGCTGAATTTCAACCCTCATCTTCCAGAAACTAAATTTAATGTACTCTCCATTACACCACTGCCACCTGGGTTCAAACTTTGCTTTGCATGTGTTTGAAGGATAAATCCTTAGGTATTCCTTGGAAGAGTACATCAGAAAGTTAGGGATTTTTCTGTGGTAATGGAATCCTGATGGGTGAGGGGTGATAATTTGTACAACCTCCTTGGGACTTTAGGCCCCATTAAAGACGGTGGGATGAAAGATATCAAAAAGATGTGAAGACTGTTCTCATGCCTCTTTAGCTTTATTTGTTTTGCTACAAGCCTGTGTTTCAGTGGCAAGAATTCTGGACTTGGTGTGTCAGGAGGGACCTGGGCCAAATTCTGCTTCCTTTACTAACTATAACCATCGACAAGTTATTTAACATCATTAAACTCAGTTTACCTAATTGCAAAATGGGGGCAGTACATGTAACATCTTTTACAGGACTGTTGTGAGAATCAAATGAGGATGTATTTCATTACTATATGTAACTATTGCAAAGCACTTTGCAAATCTTAAAGTGCTATATATTATTTAGCAGCTATTATTATTTCCTTTCCTAGGATCAAAGTACCACTATACATTTCTAAGATGCCAGGCCACCAGGGAGTTGACAGTTTTTTGGACCACTCTTATTTTCTTTTTTTACCACCAGAGTTCCCTCTACTAAAAAGTTCAGCAAGTTTAGATTACCCCTACGGAACACCTGGCAAACACTGAATTGCCCTCAGGTAGAATAGCTTTCTCTTTTCCCATAGCTCAAGTTCCCTGGTGCTGATTACTGGATCTCAGCCTTGTTCCCTGATCCCCAGGGGAAAGGAGACACACAGCATCCCAAACCTAGTCACCCAGGCTGCCAGTCCTCTTCCCTCATCTTCTGGATCATATCTCTGCTTTGCTCCTTTCCTAGTTATCCCTCACCTCCCCCCCCCAATTCCTTTCCCTGTTCCTCTCCTGCCCCGCCTCTCTGCTCTGGACGCATCTCTGAGCCCCATCATCACCAAGCGCCAGGCACTCCCTCTCTCCCTCCCTCTTCTTTTCTCCTCCCTCCTTTCCTCCCTCCCACCTCCTGCACCAGGAAACTGCCTAGAGCCTGGGGAGCGGCCTGACCCGTGAGATCCCTAACCTGGCGGGCTGGGGGGTGGAGACGGGGTTGAGGGTGGGGGTAAGGGAGGGGCAGAAGCAGGCCCTGTGGGTTGGGTTCTATGTGTGTGTGGCCGGGGGGGGGGGGGGGTGCCGGGAATGTTATCCACCGGAGTCCCCTCTGTCTGAGGCTTCCTGAGGAGAACGGTCATTAAACATGGATTCAGTCAGTAACCACAGCTGGCAGAGGGGTGGGGACTGGGCCTGGGTCCGGGTCCTAGGGCTACGTCTAGCTTTCCCGACCACTGACCATAATCTCTACCCTCCACTCCTAGGGCTCCATAGCTGGGAGGATGCAAGGCCTCAGCTGGGGGCTCCCAGCCACCAGCGCTGTGTCCTAGGAGCTGCTGCCCAGACTTGGTAAGTGTCCTCAATATCTTGTTAACCCTCTGTTTCCCTCATCTTTTATATTAATATCTTTTAACCTTTTTCAGCCTATATGTATGCTGTATTAATATATACTATATTAATCTGGCTCCTCCCACTCTGCTTTTGGGAGAATTGTAGCCTCTGCTCTATCCTAGCTTGACCTAGGGTCCCTAAAAGCAGGAAAGGTGGTGCTCTTAATTAGTCTTAAGAGAAACAGCAAATTTCACTTATTATTTGTAATATTAGTTTAATGACCAGATCTACTAGACCCCTTATTATTGCTTCGTTATCTCATTGTCTCTATTTCATTTCTTACTTCTATTCCCCATAGTTCATGCTGTCACACTAGGCTAGTCAAACCTGAAAAATGCCCCTCTGGGTTCTGTCTGGCTATGCCTAGCCTACAGTGGAGCACGGCTCACATCTAGTTCTCTTCTCTCTGTCTTTTATAGCCACCCAGATGGCGACTCCAGCCTCAGCCCCAGATACTCGAGCCCTGGTGGCAGATTTTGTGGGTTACAAGCTAAGGCAGAAAGGCTATGCCTGTGGGACTGGCCCAGGGGAAGGCCCTACAACTGAGCCCCTGCACCGGGCCATGCGAGCTGCTGGAGACGAGTTTGAGTCACGCTTCCAACGCACATTTTCGGATCTGGCTGCTCAGTTGCATGTGACTCCTGGCTCAGCTCAGCAGCGCTTTACCCAGGTCTCAGATGAGCTCTTCCAGGGGGGGCCCAACTGGGGACGTCTTGTGGCGTTCTTCGTCTTTGGGGCAGCGCTCTGTGCAGAGAGCGTCAACAAAGAGATGGAGCCATTGGTGGGACAGGTGCAGGACTGGATGGTGACCTACCTAGAGACGCAGCTGGCAGACTGGATCCACAGCAGCGGGGGCTGGGTAAGAGGCTTCCCTCTTCTACTATAACTGCACATTCCCCAGAAAAGCTTGCCTCACTGGGGGAGGGGGAATGGTTGTGATGGGGAGGCTGGTCTCTGATGGGATGGGAATATAGTTGATATTGCATGGTAAATCTAGGGTGTGGGGGAAGAGCAACGGTTTGGGCGGAGTTAGGCCATCAGGGTGGAGAGGTGATGTTAGTCAACATTTATGGAGTTACTACTGGGTACAGTGTGAAGTTCTGTGCAGTGCACTCTGTGAAAATATAAAAGTCCCCATCATTAAAGAGTTTATAATCCAAAGGGGGAGACAGAATAAATACATATGAAAAAAGGGTAAAGAATACATGCAAGGAAGAGAGGTCCAAGGTAATTCATGTTTAAGTTTAAACATAAATCCTGAGGGAATATGGGAGCAAGGGTTGTGACCAAAGTGGTGTAGTATTAGCTTGAGAAATCTGCCTAAGAGGTTAGTTTTGAGAAGGAGTTTTTTTTTTTCCAAAGAAGAAAGATATGGGATGCACATGAGGAAGGGAATTTTAGCAAGGTATTTGTGAGGGACACCAAGCAAGGCTGGAGCTGGGACGTGGGATACAGCTACAGTATAGATGGAACTGGAATTCTTCCCCTCCCCTTCTCTCCATCTCCTCTCCTAACATCCCTTTCTTCCTTCTCCTTTTTCTCTTCCCCACTTCCCTTCTCTCCCACAGGCGGAATTCACGGCTCTGTACGGGGATGGGGCCCTGGAGGAGGCAAGGCGTCTGCGGGAGGGGAACTGGGCCTCAGTGCGAACAGTGCTAACAGGGGCTGTGGCACTGGGGGCTCTGGTGACTGTGGGGGCCTTCTTTGCCAGCAAGTGAGAACTCAGCCCAGTGTTGGATCTAGAGTGGCTGTGGGAGGGAGAGAGTAGGATAGAATGGAGAGAACCCCTTGGGAGAGGTGGGATGGATGAATGGGGAAGGGACAGGGATAAAAGGGGAAGGAATGGGGGAGGTGGGGAGGGGCTTGGGAGGGGGAATAAGTGAACTCTGTATGTCAGGCAGGAGTTTGGAAGGTTGAGCCAGGGAAATGTAGAAGACACATCTGGAAAGTCAATGTGTGTAAGACAGGGAGAGTCATAGCAGGGTTGGGGCCTGGATTGGGTGGGTTTTAGAGGGCAATACCCATAAATTGAGCAGTGTGGAGAAGTCACCCTCTAGGGAATTTGGGATTTGCAACCCTAGGGGGTGGTGGACTTATCCAGCGAGTGCAGTAAAACTATATGAGAGGTTAAGTCTTCATTGGATAGGTAAGATTTGGGGAGAAAGTTGTAGGCTCTTTGGAATGGCTGTGGGTACCCTGGGGTTCTCAGTTTGCAGTGAGAAGTGGGTGTTACAAGTGGGGTGCTTGGATGTGTGTGTATGTGCACTTGTAAGCTTTGTGTACCTGGTGTGGTGATGGAATTCTTCCTCAAGGAAAAATAACTTTCCCTAGCAATGAACAGGAGTTAGATCTCCCTTTGGTTGCCCCAGTGCTGGGGGTAGGGGGTAGGGACACTATAGATTGAGAATTTTGAGGCTGTTCTGCAGAGAGTCGCAAGCAGGGTTGGGGGGAAAAGGGCAGTGTGTGCCAGTTGAGATGGCTCAGTTTTGTAGTTGTCCTTGTTTCCCTCATTAGCCTCTTCCCCATGCCTTTAGCACTTGCTGCTGCCCCTTCGAGGGCTCTGGACAAAGCAGAGCTAAGGAGCTTTGGGAAGGAAGGACACTTTACCTGTCCCCCTTTTCCCACTGGGGCACAGTGGTGCCTGGAAAGGTTCCCTATCTCTGGAACCTCTCTACCCAAATTTAAACACTAAATTGGGGTTGAAATTTCCCTTTTTGAAAGTGTGAACACAAATGCTGATCTAGAACATAGCTCTGTGTACTAAACACTAAGACTCTTTATGCCTTGAGAGGGACATTCCCAGCTCTGAACTCAGGGGTGGGGGTAGGGTATACTCTAGAAGCCAACCCATTCCATGTGGTGGGCATTGCTGCTGCTAGATCAAAGGCCAGGTATATGAGTTCTAGAGTGCATAACATGATCTAGAAACATTTATGTATGCTTTGAAGCCAGGCTGGTTGCATGGGTGTTAACTGTCTGCATCTCTTAGTGTGAGAATGCTAGATTACTGTAACCCACAAATGGATCCAGAAATAACTCTTTCTTTGAAGGAAGGAGCTCTTCCCTTCCTCTGGATGCATGGCCCTGAGCCAGACCTTGCTGCTGCACTTTCCAAGGTGCTAAAATTGCTGCTCTTAAATGCTGACTCCAGACATGCTGTGCTCTAGAACCCTGCCTGTGATCCAGAGCACTGACTTGCTCATCTAGAACACAGTTGGCTCTTCTGGGTAGAGACTTTTACTTGGTCCCAGAATGTGGCAACTTAGTTGCGCTGCTCTAGAATGTGGGACCAATCTTGGCCTCAGGTGTTTAATCCAAACTTTTGCTTTTGAAAGCTGTGTTCCTTAGAGGAATTTGTAAGGGGTGAGGGGGTGACAGACATTCTGCTGAGACTGTACTGGGTGAGATGGTATCATGAGCCAGAAAGCACTGAGTCAGTCACAGTTGGTCAGCATGGAGAGAAGGACATTTAACACTGACTTAATAGTGACAAACCCAGACCAACTAACAGCTCACAGTTGGAGCTTGTGCTCCTCTTCCCTTACAACGCAGCTCTTTCCCCCACCCTCTACCACAGACTCCTAACCTGTGGCCCCTGTTAGCTCCCTTAAGGGTCTTTAATAACAGGGGTACCAGGAACCATGGTCAGAAGGACAAAAAAAGTACTGCTATGAGGCCCCTGCTCCTGAATGGAGGCAGGGGTTGTTGGTTTAAAGGGGAGGATGCTCAGACTTGGTCTCTGGAAGCATGGCTGCATGGGACCACAGTGGGCAGTTTTGGCCAGACACTCCTTCTGGGGGCAGTAGAAGCCCCTAAGATCTTTCCTTCAGAAAACCAGGGACTTTTCTATTTGGGGCTATTCAGTTCCTGGGGGTTGTCTCTTAGCCAAGCAGGCTGAGTGTGACTCCCTGTTTTTAAGTCCATTTCATTAAAAGTAGGGGGGTAACACATTTAATTGCCATTTTCTAAAGGGTAAACTTGGTGGAGAGGCTGGGGGGGAGTGTTTCTTGCTCCCAAGAGCCCATGGGGCAGGTGGGAGGCTTCGCTTAGGCCATGGGAGGAGTGGAGGTGGGGCAGCTAGGTCCTGAGAATGCTTATCCCATCCACTCCCCACTTCTGCCAGGACATACATTATTTTTCTTTTTCAAGTCAGAAAACAATGCGAGAACGGATTTGGTTAGTTTAGAAGAAAAGAAAAAAGCTCTATAAATATAAATATATATTCATGTATTTTTATTTAATAATTTATAAATACTGGGTTCATTTGACTTTTATTTTTGTGTAATATGTAATGGTCGTATTAAAAAATAAAATCCAGAAGTTTAATGAGGACTGAACAGGGTTTGTGACTTCTGCATTTACAACTGGAAGGATGGGGTGGGTGGATACTGGCCTCCAAACAACTTTCAGTAATTTTGTTAGGAGAAGGAATTAGGGCAAGAGGGATGTGGGAAGTACCCCAAGTAAGCTTGGGGATTTCTGATCAAGAATTAACATGGTAGGCCCTCTACTTCCATCCATATGACCTAAGCTAATCTTTCTCTGACAGCAAGGTCCTGGGCAAGTCCTGGCCTTTTCCAAGCATACTTTTCTGTCTCATCTTCGTCCCTGTCACCTCCCTCTACTCCCCAACTATGGTTCTCAGGCCTTAAACTTCAATTGGCAAGATTAATTTTGCCTGAATATTCTGCTGAGAGTCAAAGTGGTACAGCAAATAGAGCTGACTGAGTCAGCTGAGTCAGCCAAGTCTGGCTTCTGATGCATACTTTCTTTGTGACTCTGGGCAAGTCAGCTAACCCACTCAATGGCCCAGGAAACTCTTGAAACTATAGGTTTCAGAACAGTTGCCCATTTGCATTGGTTGAGGGAGTTTTCTCATTAGGAGTTACCCATACCAATGAAACCACAGTTCTGGTTTAAAAAAAATATATTGCTGCTTGTTTTATATTAAATACAGCTAATGAAAAAAAATATAACTTTTGTTCCTTCTCCAATTAGCAAATCAATGGATCCTAGGCATTTTACATATAAGCCACAGACTATATAGTCTGTCCCTTTGCTTCTTAGCAGGGTTATTTCAAAACCATTTCTGAGAAAAATCTAATTAAAAAAATCTTTTGGCAACAAGATTCCAGTCTTTATGTAATATAGTGTATTACCCTCCCCCACCCCCCAGCTCCAAACATTAATTCTCCCCATAGTTAGGAAATTCTTTTATTTATCTTGACTACCTCTTGTTGCAGTTTCAGAGAATTTACTTGTGTTCTAGTCTCCAGAAAACTGGAGAACAGCTAGTACCCCATCTGGAGTTCTTTTGCCTTCCTTCATCCACGCCCCCAAACTTCAGATTCCAGCCAAGTCCTCCTGCATTTTTCCTCCACTTCCTCTTTGTCTGCCCCCCCTTCCCTCTTTCCAGTGTTAAAACTGTTGCTTACAACAACTTACTGATATACATTTGACTAGCTCCATTTCCAGTAGTTCAGCTCTCACCTTTCTACCATCTTAGGACTTCTTCACTTCCCCAAAAAGTGTTTATTTCTCACCATTAAATGTTCAGTTCAACAAACATTTGTTAAGCTAGGTACTTAACTAATGTGCTAGAAGCTGGGGATACAAATGAAATAAAATAGTCCTTGCACTTACAGACCTTGTAATCTAATAGGCAAGTAAAAGTCTCATGAGTACCATTTTGAGGTTTTTCATATGGTGCTGACTACACCTAAAAGTAGCATCTAATAAGATCGTGGTACCGTACATTCAATTCATCCATAGTGTTTCTCTCTGATATAAACTCTTTAATATGGAGTGACAAGAGTACAAGCTTTCCCAAATTCATTATACTCTTAAGATTGCTTATCTGTTTTACAGTACCAATGCATTTCTGCTTTCACTGTTGTTTTATGTTGTAAACTCCTTTGTTTAGACTGGTTTGGATCCCGAGCCAAGCCAATAAGCCAAGGTCAGTTTGATTCTTAAGTTTTAAGGTACATGGTCAGTCAATCAAGCATTTATATTAGGTACCATGTGCCAATTGTGCTAAACTGTGCAACTTAAGGACTTTCTCTTTGTATGATATTTATCTAAGGATATTCATTTCTAATTTCTTCCTTTACTATTTATATCATCTTCGTTGGTCTTCATGAGTTTAGGTGGGGCTAAGAAAATTTATCTAGTGCCTTCTGGTTGATGAGCCTCTTCAAACTTGGCTAGAGGTTTGTCTGTGGCTGACCCACACAGCCCATTGTCAGATCCATTCAAAAAGCCTTTCTACTTTGGTTAGACCTGCCAGTCTGGACTCTGTTGTTACAATATTTGAGAACCTTTGATCAGCTCTATGCTACCAGCCCTGGAGTAGGGCTTTAGTAGGATAAAGACATCATATACTGTGTTAAGGTGAAACACACTACAACCCCAATAAGCCTCTTTGATAATCTGGTTTAGTTCTACCATCATAGTGTGGCCTTGTACGTGAATACAGGTTACCAAAGCAGTGATGTCTGCCTCAAAGTGAGGGGTTTGGCAGGGAATGGGGAGTCTGATATGAGAAAAGGAGTTGGTAGTTTATGAAGCTTTAGAGAGTAAGGTTTCAAATTAAACCTAGGAATGTAGGGCTGTAAATCCCACTTGTGTCTATGGCATGATGTTCGGACTTTGCCATCTCCCATTTTTTTGAATGTCTATTTGAATCTTGAACCACAGGCTTCCCAAAAGATGCTTATGATCAGTTAGCCTACAACCTTTCTTAGGGTAATGCATTCCTTACTCTCTCAAAGTGAAAATGTGGCAACTCTTCACAGAATAGTGTCGGGCTAAGTTGGTGTGCTGGTTTCTGCTTCATGTTTATAGGAGAGGTTTATGGAAGTATGAAGAGGGAGCAACAGGCCCTGGAAAGGACAGGTCAGGAGGGAAGAGGCGAAGCAGTCATTCTTGAATGCAAGTCGAATCCTGAATGGAGTGTTGTGGTTAATGAAACATCTTACAAACGCTCCAATTCTAGCAGCCCATCCTCGGGAAGCTACTTTTTTGTCCTTACCACAGCTTCCCTTCTCAGACTTCACTTGCCCTCAGACTGACTAAAAGAAGCAAGATGGTGGCACCCTCAGAATTCGATCATATGACCTGAGGTCCCGTGCTCTGTATTTGATAGTCGTTTGGCTGAAGTGGTCACGTGTTGTAACCTAGGTTGGGGCCCTTCGAACCTCTGGGACCAATCAGCAGCCGAGCTTTGGATAGGGGTTGTGGGGCGGTGTGCGTTAGGTTCCGTTCCGCCTTTCGTAGTTAGCGGCCAATCGCATTGCACGAAGAGAGGAGTGCGGAGAGGGGGCGCGGCCCATGGGGGGGGAGGGAAGGGGGGAGAGAGAGAGAGAGAGAGAGAGAGAGAGAGAGAGAGAGAGAGAGAGAGAGACAGAGACAGAGAGAGAGAGAGAGACAGAGACAGAGAGAGAGAGACAGAGACAGAGACAGAGAGAGAGAGAGAGAGAGAGAGAGAGAGAAAAGCGGGGATGGCGTCACAGCGTGGCAGGATTGTTACCTAATGACGGGAGAAGGCGGAACCGACGTTGACTGACAGGCAAGTTTCCCTTACCGAGATTCGAGGATTTGGCTAGCTGCCCCGCCTTAGAGGCGTGATCTTATTTGATTGCCAAGTATTTCTACCCAATGGACTCCGAGCGACTTGTGACGGGCAGGCTGCTTGGCTAATGAGCCCCCAGCGTGGCCGGCGCGGCTCTCCAATCGCCGGTCGGCGGGCCCCAGTCTGAGCGGCTATGGCGGCGGCGGCGGCGGCGGCAGCAGCAGCGGGGGCTGCGGGCGGTCGAGGCTCCGGGCCGGGGCGGCGGCGCCATCTTGTGCCCGGGGCCGGGGGGGGAACCCGGGGAGGGGGCCCCGGGCGGCGCGGGGGACTACGGGAACGGGCTGGAGGCGGGGGAGCTGGAGCCTGAAGAATTGCTGCTAGAGCCAGAGCCCGAGCCCGAGCCCGAGGAGGAGCCGCCCCGGCCCCGCGCCCCCCCGGGAGCCTCCGGCCCTGGGCCCGGCGCAGGAGCCCCTGGCAGTCAAGAAGAGGAGGAAGAGCCGGGCCTGGTCGAGGGCGACCCGGGGGACGGCGCTATCGAGGACCCGGTGAGGAAGGGCCCTTGGCCGGGAGGTCGGGGTCATGGGGGAAGGGCCTGAGGCCCAGGGGCCGAGCGAGGGGCCGCCGTGGCGGCGGCCGGGCGGGGGGAGGGGGCGGGCGGGTCGTGGGCGGGGAATTACGCGGAGCTGGGCGGGACGGGACGGGACTTGGAGTCCTGGCTGGCTGGCTGGCTGGCTGGCGGCAGCGGCGGCGGCAGGCGGGAGGCCGAGTTAAGGGCCCAGGCCGGAGCTGGAGCCGGAGCCAGGACGCGGTGGGGCCCGTCCCGGGCCGAGGTGGGGGTGGGGTGGGGCGGAGGTAGGGGGGGTGGGTAGTGGGAGGAGGGGGCCAAGGGGGCTCTCAGAGGCGGGGGAGTGGGGGGGGGCGCTAGCGCTTGCCTCGGACAGTCTCCACGGCCGGAGAAGCCGATGAGGCCCCTCCATGTTTCCTTTACTAAGCCTGGCTTCCCTACCCCACCCACTCCAGGAGCTGGAGGCCATCAAAGCCCGAGTAAGGGAGATGGAGGAAGAGGCAGAGAAATTGAAGGAGCTTCAGAACGAGGTGGAGAAACAGATGAACATGAGCCCACCCCCAGGCAATGGTGAGCTTGGGGGAAGGGCCCCAGACCGAAGGAAAGAGGGGAGGACCACTGATGGGGGGAGGGAGGGGGAGTTGGAAAGATCTTTCCCTGGTGACCTTGCTAGGGACCGTGGTTTTGAAGAGGGCGTTATTGTCCCTTGTGTCACGTTTCCTTTCCTCTTTAAGCTAGTGACCCTGCCTTCATCATCGAGAATCCACAGATTCGGGTTTAATTTTTTTCACTCCTAAATTTAAGTGGATGAGTTACGTCCTTAGTGCTAAATTTAGGAAGGGACTCCTCCTAAATGCTTTAAAAAAAAAGATGATTTTATAATGATTGAAAGCTGGAGAAGGACCTTAGAGGTCATTTAGCTCAAATCTTTCATTAGGAAACTGAGGCCCAAAGAGGTCAAGGGACTTGAACAAAGTCACGGAGGTAGTTAATAGTAGGGCTTTGATTCCATTTCATTGTATCACACCTCTTAAATTTACCCTTTTTCAGGGCTTGCTATCGGAAGTCTCTCAAGGATGATGTGAGACTGCTTGGGTTACTTTCTGTTGAGGTGTTAGGATGAGAGTTTTTTATGAGAAACAGATAGAAGATGAAAATTGCTCTTTTCTGTTTTATAGCTGGCCCAGTGATCATGTCCATTGAAGAGAAGATGGAGGCTGATGCCCGGTCCATCTATGTGGGCAATGTAAGTATTAGTCTTTTTCTGGGAGAGGCTGTTATTCTGGGGAAAGATTTGGAAAGGGAACCCATTGAGGCAAATATTTTGTCTTCAAGAGAAGTGGTTAGTAGGGATTTGAGATTGGGGTGGGAGTAGGAGGTATAGTATAAATTGTAGGGTTTATAACTGGGAAGACCTTAAATGTCATTTAGTCCAACTTTGCTGCAATTTGTAGATGAAACCGGAAATTACTGTAAATTGCAAAGGAAAAGGATGGGTTAAGGCAAAAGAAGGAAGGGTTTTGACTTTGTAGTTAGCTTAGGGCCTCTTCTTTCCCCTCACTACTCCCCCCCAACCCCAATACTAGACTATAGCCAGTGTTGTCTTGAGTTGTGTTTGCCCTGTCAGTGGAATTTGTCTTTTTCTGCTTAGGTGGACTATGGTGCAACAGCGGAAGAGCTAGAGGCACACTTCCATGGTTGTGGTTCAGTTAATCGAGTTACCATTCTTTGTGACAAGTTCAGTGGCCATCCTAAGGGGTAAGCAGGGGAAAGAGGTGGTAGAGCACAGGTTAATGTTCATTTCATCAAAGCTTAAAGATCAGACAGGTATTGTTGTGTTTGGTACTTCGTTGAATGTGGAGAGGCAGCTTTAGGGTTAGATTGAGTTGGCCTTGTAGCAGATTAGATTTGGGTTCAAGTTCTGACTCTGAAATGTACTGGGAAAGTCACTCACTTTTCAGTGATCTAGGCAACTCTAAGACTACACATTGCTGAGAAAGTGTTAGCTTGGATTGACACAGGCAATTTCTTTGTCTGGGGTTCCTTATATCAGTGAAATCACAGGCCCAGGCCCTATTCTTGTTGAATGTAAGCTCCTTGAGGGCAGGCATCAATTCATTTTTGTATTTGTATTCATAGGGTTAGTATGGTGCCTTTCACAAAGTAGGTGCTTAATACATATTTGTTGAATAGAGGAGAATAAATTAGATCATAAGATCTTTTCAGGAGCTGACATATTAGGCTAGGCTTAGAAAAATAATGGATGTATAGAAAACTATAAGAACACTAAATGTATGAAAATATGTACATCTACTTCTCTGTTTTTTCCCCTTTCCCAGGTTTGCATATATAGAATTTTCAGATAAAGATTCAGTGAGGACGTCAATGGCCTTGGATGATTCTCTTTTTAGAGGAAGACAGATCAAAGTAAGCTCTGTCTTGTATTTATGAGTGTCCTATGCAGATTCTGAGGACTGCCCTTAACCTGTCTTGACTGGTTTCCATTTGTTTAGGTGATACCAAAACGGACCAATCGGCCAGGGATCAGCACCACAGATCGGGGTTTTCCACGTGCCCGCTATCGTGCCAGGGCTACTAACTACAGTAGTTCACGCTCTAGATTCTATAGTGGCTTCAACAGCAGACCCCGGGGCCGAGTCTACAGGTCAGGATAGATGGGCTGCTCCTCTCTCCTTCCCCATGAGTCTTATACCCTGCTTCTCATCTGGTTCAAGCCCTCACTCCCTAGAGGAGCTTCGATTCTTGCCTGTGTGTGATGGTAGTTAAAGGGCAGGTTTGACTTATAGACTCCCAGTCCTTAAGCAGTAACTGGGGTTGAGGAGAGAGTCTGAAATTCCCAAATCCCATTCTAGGCTTCTCCCTCATAATTATTAGTAGGAAAACATACTAGCATATGAGGGTTTCTACAGAGAAGGCTGGGTAGAGCCAAGTATCAGTGCCCTTTCTAGGAAGGTTGGGGGAGGGGGGTGAGTTGAGCCTTTTTTTTTTTTTTCCTCAGAGGTGGGAAGGGATTGGAAGTGTCAGAGTCTCTAAGAAAATTCCAGAGCCAGATTGGATGTCCCCAGTTCTGGATGAGGATATTGAGGTTATATTTACTAGCCTTTGTCAGGATTTTAGGAATTATAATTTTCTTAGTGTCTGAATGTTTGTTGCTTTGAGATCCTAGTTCAGTTCCTTTACTTGAATCTCCTTAACATATGTAGGGGAAGTTAGGTAGTATAAGGCTCTAGCTTTTTAGAAGAGTGGCTTTTCCTGATCCCTGGAGAGTTAGGAAAGAGATTGATTATACCATGGGCAACAGGGTGACTGCTTTTAGGGAGGGTTGGAAGCTATTAGAATATTGGGGACTGAGCCTCTTCTCAGTTTTCTTTACTCTCCCCTTACTAGCACATGCTCTTTGAGTATAGTTTCTTTTCACCATCCAGACAGCTTCCCTTTTGCTGAGTTGTGCCCTCTGGTGGGATCTTAGGTATTTGTAGTAAAAAAAAAAAAAAAAAAGCAAAAAACAAAAAAACTTTGCCCTTAGACAGGAACTAGAGTTGGACTAGTAGGACCATGGGAGGGGGTTGTACTGAGATGTCCATTAACTATGTTTACACCCAACTCTCCTTCTTTTTTCTAGGGGCCGGGCTAGAGCGACGTCATGGTATTCCCCTTACTAAAAAAAAAAAAAACAAAAAACAAACAAAAAAAAACCAAAAAAGTGTGTATTAGGAGGAGAGAGAGGAAAAAAGGAAAGAAGGAAAAAAAGGAATTAAAAAAAAAAAAGAAAAACAGAAGATGACCTTGATGGAAAAAAAATATTTTTTAAAAAAAAAAGATATACTGTGGAAGGGGGGAGAATCCCATAACTAACTGCTGAGGAGGGACCTGCTTCTGAGGGTCTGGTCAGGGGAAGGGCCCCCCCCCCCCCCCGGGAATGGGACAGGGGGCTGCTCATTCACTCTGGGGGTTCGACATGGACAAGTCTCGACTTCGCAAGCTGTTCCCTACCCCTCTCCCCTCTGCCTCTTCTCACTTCACCCGCTGGGGATGCTCATGGGTGGGAGCAGGATGGTGGGAAAGGTTTTACCTAAGGGTATGTAAGGACACAAAACTGTTCTGCTTGTTACCCTCCCTCCATCTCTTCCCTGTTCTCCTTCCTGCCTGCCTCTTATCCTGCCAATTATCCCCCTCTCACCCTCCTCTTCCTGGCTCCCTGTCCCTCATCCCTGGGACTACTTCTCCTGACCCTCCAGAGATTCCCTGGTGATCTATTTTGTTTCCGTTTGTGTTTCTGTTTCTGTTTTGAGTGTCTTTCTTTGCAGGTTTCTGTAGCCGGAAGATCTCCGTTCCGCTCCCAGCGGCTCCAGTGTAAACTCCCCTTCCCCCTGGGGAAATGCACCACCTTGTTTGGGGGGATGGGGGTTCTGGGTGTTTTTTGTTTTTTGTTTTCTCTTTTTTCTTTTTCTTTTTTTTTCCTTTTTCTTTTCATTTGGATTTGGAGGGGACGGGAGGAAGTGGGAACAGGGGATGGAGGGAGGGTTTGGGGATTTTGTTTATTTTTTTAGGTATTTCCAGGGGTGGGAGGAGTTTTTTGTTTTTTTTTTAATATGTGTCATGAATAAAATAAAAATGTTTTTTGAAAATAGTGTGCAGTCTTTTCAATGTAGGGAATATTTGTTTCCCTTAGATTTCAGCTTGAAGGTGAACCCTCCTTGATTGGAAGTGTTGGTGTTATAGAGGTAGATTTGCCACTCGGAATTTAAAAGTAGGCATTAAATTGCAAGTAGTTGGGATAATGAAGACTGTAATTGAGGAAGACTAGTTTTCAGGACTATATGTTTTCCTGGGTGTTTGATAGGTAGAAATGTAAGCCAAGACTGGAAAAACCCAAGTGGCTAGGTAGAGTGACCTAAATGCGTATGTACTATACACCAGTGGTTCAAACTCAAAAGATTGCCAGTAAACCGATATGACTTCCTATGGGGACATAGTGACTTAGAACACCACATTAACGTTTTAATTATGCTTATTTTGTTAAATATTTCCAAATTATGTTTTTAAGCTTAATGTTTTTGACATCTTTGCTGTACGCATTTGGTGTTGGGTGATTTGTCCACAGCTTCACTTGCCTTGGGCTAACAGGTTGTCCTTCCCACCTATGTTGCCATGTAAACTTAAGGAATTAACCTATTTTCATTTTGTTCAATTTTCAGCAGTTGTGGAGGTAAACGAATTCTAGAGAGATTTGTAGATGATAATAATTAGAATGCTGACATTATTAGTTAGGGTCTTGAAGAATTAATGCTGTTCTGTAGCTGCTTAAAACTCAACTCAGAACCTTGTCTCATGTTTCAAAAATTTTTCACCTTTTGTTCCTTTATTGTCCAGAGATTCAAATGAGAGAAGCTTCACTTCTCACCTTCTGCAGTGTGACTTCATTTTACAGATGAACTGAGGCAAATAGAGGTTAAGTGGCTTGCCCAAGGTCATGCAGCTAGTGTCTTAAGGTCGGATTTGAACTCAAATCTTCGTGACTGTAGGCCTGTGCTTTGTCTGCTGCACCACTTAGCTGCTCCCACGCCCATCTACAACTATTCAAATCATCCAGTCCAGTTGTAGACTTTGTGTTTTGTAAACATGTTATGATTTTTTTAAATCTGAATTTTCACCTTTGGCAGCAAAGTTCCCCATCCTTTAAGACCCAATTCGGCTTTCCCACAAAGGCTTCCTTTACCTTGACTGGAGTTGAGTTCCTTGAACTTCTGTAGCACATATTGGATACTAGTTATTTTGGCCACTAATAATAGTTTCACTTGTTTTTCTCCCCAGTTAGTAAGTTACTTGAGAGCAGGATTTGTATTCTCCAGACTTTTGGACTTGTAGGTGCTTGATGTTGGAATAAATTTAGCTAGAGAATTTGTGGGACTAAGAGGTAGCTTAGTGGTTGCAGAAGTGGATTAAGCAACATTACCTGTCCACCAGAGGGTGTAGCGTGGCTCGCTAGCCATATAGGTACATTTTTCTTTGGTGGTTAGGGCTGGTTTGTGAGAATTTTCTTGCATGGTTGATGGTCCTATAGTCTTAGGAATTAGAGTATTCCATTTTTTAAAGAATCCTTTGGATCAGAGCTGTGTAGGGGCTTCATTGGCTGCTGTTGGAAATAATACCACCCTTCCCTTCCTTTCTTGGCCCAGTTCTCACTAAGGTACAGGTTAACTATTTCTCTAATTTGGGACCACCCTCCTACTCTCTCTCCATTCCTATTCAAATATTCTGGTTTGTTTTCTGTCCCATTGGAGAACTTCCCAATTTTCTAATTTTATGTTTAATTTTTAAACTGAATTTTAACATTTCAAGTAGTATGAAGTAGCTATTCCTAAACTATATGCAATTAGAGGTTTCTGCTGCAAAGTACTTTTGGGGCTGGTGACAACAAAAATAACCTGCTCCACAGTGAATCCTGGTTCCCATCCTAAGATTCAAATGTACTCCAGATCTGATTATTTTGCTGTGAGCCATATATGGTGTATCCATCTTAAATGATGGAGAGAATTTGTGACTTAAGGTAAGAAACGTGAAGGGGAAATTATCTCCCAGGAGTAAGATTCTGCCTTGGCATCCTCCTTTCCACCAAGCTCTTTGGGAATTAAAGGGGTTGTTGGACAACCTGTCTAATATTTTTTGAAAGAGATATTTGGAATACGTAAACTAAGTTGTATGGGTGGTAAGACCTAATGCTTCCTTGCAGATATGGCAAGGAAAGTTATGTATACCACAAGGCAGTTCTTTTACTAGACTTATCCAGCCTTACCTGACCCCTGACTTTATGGAAAAGCACCAGGTAATCTTTATGTATGGTAAGTTAAGTATGGAATAGTCACTGGCTATGTACATGTATATGGTTTCTTTAAAATTGTGAACTAAGGACAGAGGCTGGTGCTGGGATTTCATGTTAAAAACTAACAACATAAGTCAGGGAAGGGAATCGAAGGGTCAGGGAATAAGCATTTTAAGTATCTACCATGTGCCAGTCATGGTTCTCAGCACTTTACGATTATTTTCATGTGATCACTACAACAACCCTGTGAAGTCAATATTATGATCCCCATTTTACAATTGAGGAAACTGAGGCAAACAAGTGACTTCAGTCTGAGGCTGGATTTTAACTCAGATGTTCCTGATTTTAGACACAACACTATCCATGGTGCCATCTATCTGTTTAAGAAATGGACAAATTAGTTCATCTGTTTCTGATATCATTGGGTGTTTGTGACAGTATTGTGAAAGTGGGCTCTGTTGAAGGCTACTCAGATGGGTCACCATGACCTCGAGCTTTCTGTTGCTGTGCAGGGGCAGGTTTGAGAGCTGGTAGTGGAGCTCAAAAGTTCTGGCATCTGGGAAGGCATCTAATGGGATCCCAGTGATGAACAGTACATATGTTCTCTGAATAGTGATCTAAATATAGAAGGCTCATCCCCAGGTTGGCTGCAGAGTGACAGATTTTTTCGACCACTGCAACTGTCAAAAGGCCATCTATTAAGTTTTGGAGGGGTTGCATACTACTGCAGAGTAGGGGGAACCATGCCAGATTATAGATCCTTTGGGTATTAGAGCATTCAGATGGACTTGATGATAACCACAGAAAGTGAAGAATGTCCCTCTCAGATATCCCTAACATCATCTATTGTGATCAATATATCATCCATAAATTATTTCAGCCTTTGTTGAACCTGAGTTTTGAGTCAGTACAATTCCAGTTAGCTGAATAAAAACATCAAACATCTACTATGTGCAAACTAAGCAATTTCTTTTATTTGAGTGTGAGAATTTTCCCTTAAGGCTCAAAGGGACACCTACCCAAATTCTAGTATTCTAGGATTTGGTGAACCATGCTTACTGTTTATAACACACTGTTTATAATTTTTCCCTAGGTCTGCAATATGAATATATATCTTACCCAACCATAATATTAATACTTTCAAGGTAGGCACCTTATCATTTGAATACCTACGTCTGCTACTTTACTGACCACAGTAAATGCTTGTCAAATGTCAACCATCTTCACTGCTTAGCAGCCTTGTGATTTCATAGGCTTCGATCTCTACTTCTTAAGACTTAGCTCTCGTACCTCTATCATAAAAGGCTTTGCCTTGTCTCCCCAGGAGTTTAGCCTTTCTTCAGGCTCTGTAATTGTATATATATTTTTTATTTATCTGTGTACCTGTTGTTTTTCCCACTAGAGCATAAGCCCTTCCAGGGCCAAGAAAATTAAAATTAATATTTGTCTTTGTGTCCCCAATCTCTCTCTCTGGACAGGCAGAAACTGCTCTAACTGCTTGGTCATTTTAATCTCTTTCCTCTGGACTTTTCTCAGTTCTGTTAAGAAAAGTACACATACATTGACAAGGAAATTAGCTCATTTTTGTCATTACTTTTGAAATTATTGTATTAATGGCATATACAATACCAACTTATTAACAAATAAAGCAGTCTGAGATTTTTATAAAATCTCTTTTTCAAAGTACTCAAAGACCTTTCTCATGTGATTTTAATAGTTCACACAGACCCTCCAGAGGTATATCTGGGATGGGCATTATTTCCATATTACCAATAACCCTAGGCTACAGGCGGAATTCTGACTCCCACAGTCCTTTCTTGTATACTTATAGTGACCATGCATCCCAGATTT